TTTACTATGGAGTGTAATGATATTTCATTTGTATTTTAATAAATAAAGCTTGCCTGAAGATCAGAGAGTAAAATAGCCCCATTGGTCAGCCTTACAGACCAGGCAGTGGTAACACACACCTTTAATCCCAGTAGTCACTAGTTTGCCATAGAAACCCGATGGTGAACGCCTTTAATCCCAGCCCTAGAGAGGAATGTAAAATGGGAAAAGACGGCTCACTGACACAGTCTCATTCTGAGATTCCTGGAGGCAGGATAGCCATTTCAGACTGAGATAGAGGTAAGAGCCAGTGGCTGGCTGTTTTGCTTTTTGATCCCTAGGCAGGCTTTTTTTTAAATTGAAATACAAATGAAATATCACTACAAATAGAGCACAAAGCAAAGGCCACTTGCCTCGGCCTCCTGAGTGTTGTTATTATAGACATCTGCCACCACACCCAGATGAAGGTTCTTTTCCAACAGACTGATGCATACTGTTGCCTAGATGCACCATAGTAAACACCCATTAACTGGTTTCCAATGGAAGGGAATTTAGGTGGTTTCTTATTTTGTGATTTATTACTTTCCTATGATGTAAAATGCTCCTTTGTACATATACAGATATAAAGATGGATTCCTAGCAGTGGTATTTTATAAGTCATGTCACACACACACACACACACACACACACACACACACACACACAGTGTTCTTCAGATGGGCTCTAACTATGTAGCCCTGGCTGATGTGGAATTTGCCATGCATACTAGGCTGGCCTTGATCTTACAGTCATTCGCTTGCTTCTGCCTTCAATATAAACACTTTTAACTTTGAACAGTGCTTTGAATTGCCCGCCAGAAAAACTTCTCTGCCTTTTAATGGAGGTGAGGGTGTGCACACCCACCCATTTGCATACTGGATGCTATTTTTGTTAGACAAACAGATTTACAATAGTATTATGTTGATGTAATTTATATCGCATTTAATTAATGCTTTCTATTAAAATAAGTGTTACATTTTTATTTAGCTATTTTATATATCTATAAATGCTTCCATGTCATATTTCTCACAATTCACATTTGGCTCTTTTTATTCTTTAATTTTGTTCTGGTGGTTTAGCAGTTTTTCTATAATAAGCTCCTATCATTCTTTTGTTAAACTGATTGTGGAGTGTTTTGATTTTGATCCTTATTTTTAAAGAAGCCCTGTTGGAGGTCTGGAGAGATGACTCAACTGCTAAAAGCACTTGCTCCTCTTCTGAAGGACCTGAGTTTGATTCCTATCACAACCACCTGTAACTCCAGCTCCAGGGATCTCACAAACCCCCTCTGGCTGTTATGGGAACCCACACACATGTAGCACACATACACACACACACACACTCAGACACATACACATAATAAAACTTAAAAAATTCTGTTTATTGCAAGTAATATCCTTTTAAATTCTCATATTTAATTTTCAGCTTTTGTTTTCAAGCCATATAATGAATATTATTAATTCTAATATTCCTGATTTTATTTCCTAGTAACTAAATCAATTTGTAACTGGAGGTTTCTCTGTCTAGCTATTCAGCCTAGTCTATTAGGCAAGTCCCAAGCTAATGAGAGTCCTGTCTCCAAAAATGAGGTGGATAGCACCTGAGGAATAACATCCACAGTTCTCCTCTGCCTCCATAAACATATAAACATACACATGGACTTGAACATGTATGTATACACACAACACAACACAAACAAAACCCTGTGTGCTTTCTGTGTTCTGCTCATTTTTCCTGCATTGAATCTACTCTGAAGTTGCTCCCCACTTGGGACTTTGTCTTAGTATAGATCTTGGAAAGCTTATTAGCGTCACACTCCTCTGACATCTTCAGTCTGCCTCTAACACCTAGAGACTGGAATTTGAAGGATTCACACCTAGTTTCCACAGCTAATCTCATGGTAAACTTATTATTGATGAGGCTGTGTAGTGGTTTGGATAAGGACGGCACCCACTGACTCCTATATTTGAATACTTAGTCACCAGGGAATGGCACTATTTGAAAGGATTATAAGGATTAGGAGGCAAGGTATTGTTGGAGTAGAGGCAGCCTTGTTGGAGAGAGTGTCACTGGGGGTGGGCTTTGAGGTTTCAAAAGCCCATGCCAAGCCAGGCTTTCTCTCTTTCTGCCTGTGAATAGGATATAGCTCTCGACTACTTCTCCAGCATCATCCCTACCATGCCTGCTACTGTGGTCCCCTGATGATAGTAGTGGACTAATCCTCTGAAACTGTCAGAAAGCCCCAACTAAGAGTTTGTGTGTGTTGCAAGGAGCCATTTGTTTGTTCCGCCGCCCAGAACCAAAATAACCATACAGAAACTGTATCCATTAAATCACTGCTTGGCCCATTAGCTCTAACTTCTTATTGACTAACTCTTACATCTTAGTTTAACCCATTTCCATTAATCTGTGCATCACCACGAGGTCATGGCCTACCAGCAAAGTTTCAGCACATCTATCTCCAGTGGCGGCGGCTCCATGGTATCCCCTGACTCTGCCCTTTTTCCCAGCATTCAGTCCAGTCCTCCTTGCCTACCTAAGTTCTGCCCTATTAACAGGCCAAGGCAGTTAATAGGATCACTCACAGCAATAGAACAGTGACAAAGACAGGTTGTGTATAGCTTTGGGAATTGTATTCAGAAAAACTTGCACAGTAGATAAAAATCTTAAAGCACACTTCTACCAGGTACACATCTTCTCATTTTCCCCCTTACATAGAAGAAAAAGATGCAACAGTATTTTGAATATAATTATTTACAGTTTCATAATTCTAACCCAAAACAGAAATTTTTGAGAAACTATTATAATTTTTCTTTCAGTTGCTGTGATAAACACTAAACAACCTGGAGAACAAAAGGTTTATTTCCACTCACAAGTAGCAGTCCACCATCCCGGAAAGCCACACAGGAGATCGGGGTGGGAACGGAAGAAGGAATGTTTGCTCCCCACAGTTTGTTCAGCCCTTTCTTATACCTCCTAGGTCAACCTGTTCCACTGTGGTCTAGGTCCTACCATGACAATCATTAGTCAAGAAAATGCCCCATAGACATGCCCACAGGCCTTCTGATGGAGGCAATTCCTCAAAGGAGTTCTCTCTTCCAAGGAGACTCTGGTTTGTGTCAACTTGACAAAGACCAATCATGATAGAGAGACTGACCTCCTTTCTAATGAGTGTCTGCTGGGTATCTTTGGGCATCCTTGTGTTTTCTAGAGCCTTGGTCCTGTTTCAGTCACCACACAGACTTTTGTGTTTGCTTTTAGCTACCAACAGTTGAGAGGTAGTGTAAAATGGTCACAGTTAACTAGGGGTATGTGATTCACCATTCTGAACTTTTCTTAATCTTAATTCTAGAAGTGTTTGTTGACACCAAGCATCAGAGTCTTGTTTGAACAGCAGATCCAAAACAGGATACAGGAGTACTGTGGCTTGGCATAGGAACTTAGAGCAAAGGGGATCAATTTCCAACAGGGCAAGGTTCAACAGCAGTGAAGAATGACATCTGCAAAGATGTTGACAAGATTTCCCCATCTCTTACTCCCCAAAGCCAGTGCTGAAAGTCTACCAAGATCATATGCAGCCAGAATACACCTATGAACAGAATCGACAACAACTAATAAGATCTGGAATCCTTAAGCCCTCACCGAGCATGATGGACAGGTCTTCACTTACCATCCAGGAGTCTCCAGAGGCCGTGAAGAGGAAGCAGGTAAGAGATGCCAAACGCTTAAGCGATCTTGAAAAGTGGCACGTGTGTGGTGTTGCTCACTCACTTTTAATCCCTAAGGATATAGATAAGGTTGTCCATATTGGGAATATAGAATGTTTCTGAAGAAAATGAGCACAGGATGGAAAAACCATGGAGAGATTTTTATTGTCTTTATTGTCTTCTGACATTTTCTTGCATGTTAATGGTGTCCCAAATGTTGTATATAATTATTTGTAATTTGTAATAGTTTTTATATCAAAAGTGGGAAACTTGGAAAACTCTAAAGAGGGGCAATAAAAGGTGGTGCACACCATTAACCCCAGCACTTGGGAGGCAGAGGCAGGTGAATCTCTGTGAGTTTGAGGCCAGCTAGACTACATAGTGACTTCAAAAGATAGAGACAAAGACAGAACCAAAAGATATCTTAAAGTCAGTGGAAACTATAAAGCTGATTTACTGCCATACAGTTCTCTTGGGTATGGATTTAAGAAAGGCTTGTCGGAGGATAACTTTTAAGTCAGTGGTTCCCAACCTTCCTAATGCCGAGACCCTTTAATACAGTTCCTCATGCTATGGTGACCGCCAACCATAAAATTTCCTTTATTACTACTACTTTCCTTTATAACTAGCTACTTTATAACTGTAATTTTGCTACTGTTATAGATCATAGTGTAAATATCTGTCTTTTGCGATGGTCTCAGGCGACCCCTGTGAAAGGGTTGTTTGGCCCCCAAAGGGGTCACAACAACTGCTGTATGAGTGATTGTAGATAACTAAAAGAGATACAGGCGAGAGAAAGCGTGCTCCTTCTCAAGAGACAATGTAAGCAGAGCCAGGAAACCGTTTGCCTTTATTACAAACTGTTCATTTGGCATAAAATGGGCCTCACAACCTGAGAGTTAAGAAGAAAAGAGAAGTCATGTGGCCATCTTGCATGGAAGGAATGATAGCTTTTGAGCAATGCACAGTCGCTAGATGTAATTGAAGGGATTGGAATTGAAATGTGGAAGAAAAGGAGATGCCAGGAGAAAGAGAATGATATTTTTTCAGAATATGGATCTCCCAGAAAGCTGTTGAAATTCTGCATTGGGGTTTGAGCTCGGCCTTCCGGCTCAATGCGACCCAGCTACTAGTCAGTTCCAGGACTCCTGAGAGCAGGTTAGAGACGCAGAATCCCAGGCTCCATCCCAGCAGGACTGAATCAGAACCTGCCTCTGAAACAAGCCCACTCCCCATCCCCCATCCACATGTACATTTACATCTGAGAAGCCCTGGTCCACGAAACAGGCGAGTATTCATTAATAAAATAAATGCTTCCCAAGAGCTGTAGCAGAAATAGTTTCCAGGACTCACCATGACTGTCCCCGAGCTCCACAAGGAAGTTAAATTCATGACAGGTCATGATGGCAGCTGTGGAAGACTGCATTCTTCAAAGAGCATCAAGGTTGTCACTAAGTGCTAAGGCTGGGGGGATTCAGACACAACACAGCTGAGGGGGCGGGGCGTGAGCTCGCAGAGGCTCCAGAGAGCCAGCAGCACACGGGAAGACAGATGTGTGTACAGGAGAGAAGGCAGCAGCGGGGCTTTTGTGCGGCAGAGGGGTGGTGTGGCTGAGAAGCCACGCTTCAAGCACCGTTTGAGAGTTTTCCACTGGAGAATGTTCCCCTCTCAGAGGATTTTCTGCCTTTTTCTTTTTCCCTTTGGCAGAAACTCGAGTTTAATACAGTTGTCTTTGTTTAGCTCCAGCGCTCCTCTGCTGAAATGTTCGCTCCTTCCCCTTCTAAAGTGCCACGCACGGGTATTGGGAGAAGAGGGCTCTTCGCAAAGAGGTCTTCGACTTACCCTAAGTACATCTTCCACGACCGAGAGGAAGTCGTCAAAGCCAACATTAGAGACCCTTTGCAGATCATCAAGATCATCCATGAGAACGAGCATCTCGGATTCCTGTACATGATTTCGGCAGTGCCCAAGTCTTCCATTGAATACGATACATATAATCTAAAGTGAGTTCCCTTTTTTTTTGAAGCAATTCATTTAGTGTAACAAATCACAAATAAGATTGCAAATATTATCCATAATTGATTTGGTACTGGTGATAACTATGATCAAAAATAATGTTGATTGTCTCCCAAGGGTAAGAGAAACCTCATGCAGTAATTTTATTTGTATTTTCCATTATCTTTCCTTTTTCTAGATATAAAAATTATCTATTTTACAGGACAATAAACTACTGTGTTTCTCATATATTTATGTAGCATTAACTTAACATAATGTTACAGCATTATTTTGACCAATATGTAAACATTTTGGTCTTTTTATTATTGAGGAAAATATCAAACTATAAACAGTAGATGATACATGATTTATTTTACATATAACCTTGGGTTTTCTTAAATTTTGTTTTGTTTTATGTGTGTATTTGTCTGCATGTAAGTACATGTACCACATGAATGCAGTGCCCTTGGAGGCCAGAAGAGGGCATCAGATACCCTGGAACTGGAGTTACAGACTATTGAGTTGCTATGTGGATCCTGGGAACCCAACAGAGGTCCTTTGCAAGTGCTTTTGGTTTCTTTCTTTCTTTCTTTCTTTCTTTCTTTCTTTCTTTCTTCCTTCCTTCCTTCCTTCCTTCCTTCCTTCCTTCCTTCCTTCCTTCCTTCCCTTCTTCTTCTTCTTCTTCTTCTTCTTCTTCTTCTTCTTCTTCTTCTTCTTCTTCTTCTTCTTCTTCTTCTTCTTCTTCTTTTCGAGACAGTGTTTCTCTGTAGCTTTGGAGCCTATCCTGGAATTGGCTTTCCTTTACCAGGCTGGCCTCAAACTCACAGAGATCTGCCTGTCTCTGCCTCCCAAATGCTGTGCAAGTACTTTTAATTGATAGGCTGCCTCTCCAAGATCACATCAGCTTTTCTTTATAGAGTGGAAATAAGGGTTTCAAGGAATAAAGGATATTATCAAAGAGACACACACTCTCTCCATTGATACTGAGCATACATGCTGTTGCTATAATTTGAAGTATCATGGGGCTGTTGATGATTTGGAGTTATTAAGCAGTAAAGGTCCGAGGCATACATGGTAGATGTTCCACCTACTTCACAAGATCACACTGTCTGTCTCCATCACTCCATCAGCTTGAAAGATACTGTCAAGTCTTCCCTTCACGGGGATAACAGCTTGGTTGTGACCCCAGTTTCTCAAGCTACTGTCCTCATCGTTGGCTCACTTGTTTTTCTTATTGAAGACTCTCCTTTAAACTATAGTGATCTGTATGTCAGATTACACTGAAAACAACTGTTCTGGTGAGAGGAGACACTATTTTCATGAAAATGTAAACTAATAGACTTGTTTGTTGTGAATCCCAAAAGTTCTACTAATAGATAGATTCGGGTTGCCATGCATTATTCTTCAGCCCTTATCAACACTCTCTGTCGTACATTTTTCCTGCCATCTCTTCCTCGGCTAAGCAGGAGAAGTGACATGTTTCCAGCTAAGCCTTCAACCACATTTATACTCAGCATCTTGTGCAGACGCGAGAAGTTGGCTTGTTTGTTTTTAGCTTTAGCTTCTGCAAAGGGACAAGAGTAGGGCTTTTCAATAAAGAAAAAAGAAGAAACAAAAAAAAAAAAAAGAAAAATCACTTTCATATTTTTCACTCCAATTTGATAAAGATGGCATTTTACTTTTTAATAAGGCCTTTTATTGCTTATGAATCTGAATTATAAATGTATATTAGAGTTTTTAATTTGATTTATATGTATTCTGCATCATTCCATTGGTGTGGTTGCTTTACCTTCAGTGACTCAGTAGTTCACTTATATGAATCTATAATCTATGTTGGCCTCTTTAATGTTGTATTTCTAGGTTCTAGACTAGTATCCTAAACAAAACCAAGCAAGCTTAAATAAGAAAGTTTACCTTAGATATGTGCTGATGATGTCAATTACAACTTTATTGTTTGTTTATTTGTTTAAAGATTGAACAATATAGAGGTGCTGTACACTTGCAAAAAAAAAAAAAAAAGAGTAGGGCTTTTCTCTAGCTTCCCTAGTGGGAACTGGGATAGCTATATAAAGTGAGAAAAGATCGTTTTTAAAATAATTAATTAATTAAAATTAAAAAGAAGAATTTTGTCAGCAATCAGAAAATATTTACAAATGATGCAGCTTTGCAGATTTAGGTAGGAATGGTTCTTGGTTCTGAAGCTGGATGTAACTGACATTTCCATATCCAAATGAACTGAGGAAAATTCCAATAGCTGCTGGGAATTATATTAACACATGCAAACTAGGAGAAGAAAATCAAAATTTTGATTTCCCGCTCTGGGAAAGGATGATTTAACAGAGTTCTGGGCTTATTTTCATTTGAGGTGTGGATCTGAACTAATTACTTCTGTATTTGAGAGACAGCTTCACCAATGTTTCCAAAACACACAGCATGACCAGATTTTAGGACAAGTATCCTACCACAAGAATTTCAACACTGAATGTGTTACAGAAAGAGACATCATTTAGAGTTAAAGAGTAAAAAACAATGGTGCCTTTGATAGCTAATTGCAAGAGGACCAGGCATCCAAATGCTGGGGATTTCTAGCCATCTGGCACAGGGCAATAAAGCATCCTCCACCGCTTGCTGCCTCCTTTTATGTTACTCTCTCAACAGAGGTGGCTGCGAAGACCTTCAACAGATCCTTCACCGAGTCTTAATTCGAAATTCAGGGAAGTGCTTCAGAAAGGGTTATGGACATCTTCACAGTTACTTATGAACTACATTGTACATGAGACTTTTATCAAACTCAAGATTGACTGTGTCCTCTGCATTCTGCATTTTTTTAATTGTATGGTATAAAGAATCATCACTAGCGTCTTTACATGGCCTGCAGTCACCAAAGTTCCGTCACTGTATGAGTATTTTATATCGAATGTGGGGAGTGTTCTAGAATTACAGAACATTTTTATACTGCATGAGAACATGACCTTTGTTTAAAAGTCACAGCTTCCTTCCCCTGGTTAAGAGTAAAGTTATCTGATTGGTAAATTATTTCTTCTTGGGGATAAGCTGAAAACAAATTATGAATAGATAGTGGAGAGCCATCACCCTGGGATCTCACAGCACAGCGTCCTGAGATGTTGGAGAGCCATCACTCTCTGGGATCCCACAGCACAGAGTCCTGGGATGGTGGAGAGTCATCACTCTGGGATCCCACAGTGTCCTGGGATGATGGAGAGTCATCACTCTGGGATCCCACAGCGCCTGGGATGGCGGAGAGCCATCACTCTGGGATCCCCACAGTGCAGCATCTTGGGACCTGGATTTGGAAAAGGACTTTTCATCAATGGACAAGACATCCTAAGGAAATAAGATTACAGAACATTGCACACACCATCTACATTTTTATGGACTTTGTTTGACCTGGCTGTCCCTTTCTGTCTACTGACTGGATTCGGTTGGATCCTTGTAAGAAGAGTCTCAGGGCAGAGGCGATAGTTCAGTCAGTAAAGTACTTACTTTTCAGTCATGAGAATTTGAGTTCAATCCCCAGCACCCTTAATTCCAGCACTTGGGAAGTAGAAGCAGGCGGTGGATCTCTGAGTTCAAAGCCTGCCTTGTCTACAGAGCAAGTTCCAGGACAGCCAAGGTTGTACAGCCTAACCGTTTGTGTCTTAAGTTATTTACCTTCAACCACTACAGCCATGACACAGATGTCCAAGGCTACTCTAAAGGGGCTTAGACTCCTGATTCAGAATGTAGAACCAAGAACAGAACTTACGTGTGGAAAAAGTTGGTTTTCCTCAAGCTACTGTCTACTCTTTAATGCTTATAATGATTTTTTCTGTCTTTAATTATGTGCGTTGGGGGTTGGGGATATGTACACATGAGTGTAGGACCTGTGGAAGCCAGGAAAGGGCAATAGGTCCCCTGGAGCTGGAGTAACGTGTGGCTGTGAGCGTCTGACATGGTGTTGGGAATTGAACTCTAGTCTTCTGCAAGACCAGCTATCAGTCTTAACCACTGAGCCCCCACTCTAGCAGAAATGATTTGAGCTTTGGCTTTTGTGTTTAATCACTGTCTTGTGATTTTAGGTTTTCCACAACTATGACTGTTACTCTCCTAAATTCCTGAACATATTTTGACAAGTTGTTATGGCATATTTCACACTTGTTTAATTTCATTTAAGTGGCACATATTTTGTCACTTTAGCCAAATCAGAAAATACCTTTGTACTTTAAATTTCTTATTAAAGAATTTTAAATCAAAGATTTTTTTTTAGAATCCACCTTTTTTTTTTCCTTTTAATTTATCCTGTTCTTGAATTTCTTCTTGGTCTAGTTTCTTTTTTATGTGAAGCTGAAGCATGCCCTTGATGAAAAGTGCAGATGAAAAAAGGTATCTTTAACTAAATGGTTTTTTGACAATAATCTGTGATGAATTAGACATTATTTAGTTTAATTTGAATCTTAATTAAATGCTTCATAATTCATGTTTTTTTTATCTTTCTTACAATTCTGTCAGTACTAAATAGTTTAAGGGTCTTTCGTGCTACTGATATTGAATAATCTCTAATGAGTTAATAATCAATATAAACTTAATTAAAGCAGCTTGCATAAAAGACTATTGAGTTTAAAATATCTATAGTGGAGCCAGGCTTAGTGGTGCACACCTTTAATCCCAGCACTTGAGAGACAGAGGTAGGAGGATCTCTGTGAGTTCAAGGCCATCTTGGTCTACAGAGTGAGTTTCAGGACAGCCAAGACTATATATAAGATCCTGTCTCAAGAAAAATGATGTCTGTAGTGAGGGTGGCAGATGACTCAGTGGGTAAAGATACTTGCAGTCAAGCCTGAGAATCTGAGTTCCGTCCTTAGAACCCACATAGAGGAAGGAGAAAACTTCCCACAAGCTGTCTTCTGATCACCATACACCTGCAAAATATGTACATAAATGTAATAAAAATGTCTATAGTGGGTTTCTTTGTTGAAAAGATCTCATAAGTGTAATGATTAAATGTATTGCTAATGTGGACTCTCTCTAATGAATGATCCAGTGTTTAAACCTAGCTCTTCTCTCGTCTTTTGAGATGTTTCTTTAACTCGAAAGTTTATTAGTATTTGGTTCAACTCTAAATGGTATTCACCTTTAATGCGTTTATCTTTCTACAACAAAAAGCACTTCCATTGCTTATTCTTGTGCTGAATACTTTATCCATTTGTCCCAATTGGTGTTTGTCCACAGGGTCGTAAGTTATGAGAACATCAATAAAAGTGACTACTACACAATTAGCAAAAAAGCAGTGACCCACGTTTACAATGATGACATCGAGTACATCGAGATCGAGCGATGGGAGCAGGAGTATCTGTACCACAGAGAACTCACCAAGATCCCCATATTCTCGCTCTTCCGGAAATGGAAGGCTTTCAGCGTTTGGAGGAAGAATGTCCGCTCCAAAAAAATCACCGGCTGTCGGAAAGCACTACAAAAAAATCTGTTCATTGTTAATCCTGTATGTATTTCTTAATCATGTTTTTTAAAAAAAACATTGCAGGGCAAGAAAGTGTGACTTGGTCACAGGCACGGGTATACAAACACCTGACGCAGACTATTTCATCTTGGTAAAAGTACTCAGCGTCCTTGTCCTGTCACACCTAGCAATCCAGTCATCCGGGTTCCTGCCCCTTGACTAGGGCAGTAAGTAAGACTAGTAAGTAAGGCAGAAGAGAGACACAGGTCTCCTTCGATTAGGGGCAGCCTAGAAATCTTAGGATGTTAATTTTCTCTGAGAGGGGAGGCTATGTGCTCCCCAGCCCCATTTATGGAGAATTATGTTTGGGTGTTGTACAGGCAACCACCTCCTCTGTCTCACCTTACACCAGTCACCTTCTCTGGTCAGCAGCTACAGCTTGCTGTTCTTGAAGAACAATCTGATTGATTTTTGTGGTCATGTCATGTAATGTCACTCGTACAACAGAGAAGGTCGCGAGAACTAAGATAAATATAGATCAATAATAATTAAAATTAACCAAGCAAAGCAAGAGTGTAGGATGTGTCATCTCAGGTCATCCATCCCAAAGAGCATGCTGAACTATGCAAGGATATCCCATTCCTGCACAGCATTGCCCTCAAACTCTGCATCTTTAGCTTCATTAGCCGCTTGAACTCCATGACCATGCTTTGCATACTGCATAGATCATACATCTTTTTAGTCATTATGCAAAACTCTTCCTGGATTTGTCTTTTAAATGACCTTTCTCAGTCCCCATGTCCCCTTCTCTTATGTGCTGAGAATTGTCACTTTGCCAGTGGTGTCTTGGTTGTGATAGTACCTCCCCTTAAATTTCTTCTTAGAATGCTAGAAAGTTCTCATCTTTCTAAAGCAAAGTGTTACCTAGGAATGTCCCTACTGTCATGGTTCAGTACCCATTAGCTGCTAACGAACTCTCCAGAAACGAAGTGACTTCAATGGCTGAATCTTCTAGACCAGGCTAAAAGAAGAAGCATGGAATTTAAAATTTTTATGTAAGAATTGTTTTATGTAAGAATTTTTATGTAAGAATTAATTGTGTATAGGTGTGCTGGCCTGCATACCTGTCTTTGTACTGTGTGTGTGCAGGGCTTGTGAAAGCCAAGAGAGTGTGTTGGATGCCCTGGGGATGGAGTTACAGACAGTAGTGAGTTGTCATGTGGGTGCTGGGAACAAAACCTAGGTTCTTTGGGAGAACAGCTGGCGCTCTTAACCGCTGAGCAATCTCTCCAGCCCCTGCTTTTAAAACGTCATTGCATTTTACTTATTCTCTCTCTCTCTCTCTCTCTCTCTCTCTCTCTCTCTCTCTCTCTCTCTCTCTCTGTGTGTGTGTGTGTGTGTGTGTATGTGTGTGTCCATCCACCTGACTGCCATGGTGTGTGTGTGGAGGTCATAGGACAACATATGGGGGTTGGCTCTCTCCTTCAACCTGGTGTGTCCCTAGGATTGAACTGAGGTCCTCTGCTTGGTGGCAGATATCTTTACTTGCTGAACCATCTTGCTGGCCCTGAAATTTTTATTTCACGAAAACAGCCAATCTCGTAAGCACCTGTGCCTGGGTTTTCCTTAACCACTTCATTGATACATAATTTCCATACTTGCCGTGTATTTACCCACCCCAGTCTATTAGTGTGTTCACAGGATGGACTGGCCATTGCCACAGTCGATTTGGGCACATAACCATCACCCTAAAAAAAGGCTACATTGGCCATGGTTAGCAATTCTCAATTTCTCTCCAATTTCTTGTTCCTCCCTAACACCTACTTCCTATCTCTATAACTTTGCCTATTCTGTACACTTATGAAATCATACAATATGATTGACATTTTTCACTTAATGTACTCTCTACAAAATGTATCTGTGTTATGAAATACCATTTCTTTCCACTGGCTAAACATATTTCTTTGTGTGGTTATACCTACCTTATTTATTTATGTCTCGATAGATATTTGAATTGTTTCTACTTTCTGGCAATTACAAGCAATACTTTTACAAATAAATGTAATTACAAATAAATATCCACGCATAATTTTTTCTAAGCGTATTATCAATTGTCTAAATATTTTTGAACGTAAGTACTTATGTGTACTTTTTTTTCTCCTGGACACATTATTAGGATGAAAGAGCTGAGTCAGTTGTGACTTTCTTTATCCTTTTCCGATGCATCTTGTTAGCCATGGTAAATTTAGAGTAAAATTTAGTCTTGTTATATGTCAGTATAGTAAGTGGTCCTTTTGTGATCGTTGTGCCTGGACACTGTAAAGTCTTTTAGTAGCCATTAGCTAGAGCCAATGAAATTTAAGATGTGTAGCTTTTTGCTACTTGCCTTCAATCTTATTCCTTTACTAGCTAAAAGGCACACATCCTTCTCCAAGTAAAAAGGAGAGAACTGGGCAAACTAAATATGATAACTTGAGTAATTCTTTTACAAAAATTATTCTGGAAAGTTCCTACTTGGTGTGTGATATTTTTACAATACAGGACTTTAAAAATTAAATAATGATTAATTCTTCTTTTCTTCCAGTATCTGCGACCAGCTCTTCTTAAGATTAATGAGATGTGCTACCAACTGAGTTTTATGGGACTTTGTTATATTGAAAAATTCCACACCTACACCCTGCAGGAGTTCAAGGCTGCGCAAATTGTGCGACTACAGGAGGTAATAGACGCTGTCGGTCAAGTTTCGGGCTCCTTTCTTCTTAGGACCCTGATTTTGCCTTGACTAATTATACTCAATCATGAATGTTTAGGTCACAGAGCACCTCGATGATTTCCGAAATGAGGCGAAAGATGTGGTCAGGAGGTCGTGCCGCTTCGCCTTACGTGCTGCGGGATTTATTCCTGATGACTGTGTGTTCGAGCCCTGTGAGGGTACGAAGGCTAAGAACCAACTGGGAGAGTCCAGAGGGGCAGCTGTCTAGAATACTATCCCTTCTGTAATCTCACTTCCCTTTGAGTTAAACAGCTGTTCTCTTTTCATTTGTTCCAAACTCGTGCGTGTATGCATAAGTTGTAAGCATAAATTCTATCTTTTTGTCGGGGATTCAGAGTTGTTTCACAAATCAAAGGAGTTTGTTGTTTTGTGTTTTCATTTTTTTCTTTTAATCAATATTGAAAGGTGGAATATTTATAGAAGCTTTGTCCCTTGTATTGCCCTTAGATTACTTTAAGATAAATATAGCAAGTTTTGTTGAAGCTCCATTTGATTTGCCAACTTATGGAGAATCTGAAAAGATGACCTACACAGAACAGGCCAGCAAAAGGCATCACTGCACGAGGCTCACATGGTGAGAGCATCTTCTTCCTTTCAGGATTGGAACAGAGAATCTACACTTCTCAAGCCGTGGGCTGGGGAGATGAGTCTGTGCGGAAAGGCTTTGCCCCGCAATTCTGATGTGGAAATCAGACGCAGCTTGCAAGGTCAATACCCCAGTAAGAACACAAATCGGTGCCTTTGGGCTAACAACTGCTACTGAAGAACATTGATGTGCACCATGAGTGCGGTGCTACAGGTGTGAGTCTCACATGATACATGCACCATTTCAGCATCCCACAGGGCATGAACCATGGGAACCAAATGGCAAAGATTACAGACTTTCCTTACAGACACAAGTTACATGCGTTGTAAGCATAGGATTTCCCCCTGAAGCACCCTGAAGAACTCCTGTGGCCCTTTGAACAGATGAGCTGGGTGCGTTATTCTTATCACACATCTTGTTCATCAAATAGCTCGTGGTGAAGTTAGGACCACTAGTTAAAGCAATGTCATGTATTTGAATATATTTATCTTTTCAGGGGAAAAAGGTCTAAGAATAATTCTGAAGTATCTCATATTTTAATATAATTCAACCAAAATTCCAGGAGCCATTATGTTTTAAATCCTTGCCTTAGAGTTGCTATAGGGAAAATGCAGTAATCATGGAAAGCTGAGCGTGTTTCCTTTCTCCTCAAGCTTCATCCGTCTGAATGACTACCTAATTCAGAACACCCTGCACGTCTTAACAGTGAACACTGCCAGCTCGCTTCTGAGTTTTCTCTCTGACAAACTAAAGCGAACGCCCTCAGCAGACATCATTCAGAAATGGATTACTGAAGAGAAGCCTGAAGTCACCGAGAAAAAGGTACATTTGGACAAAAATCACATCTCTGGGTGTCTACCAAGGACCATCTTTATGTTATGATTTTTCCTGAGGTTTTCTGTATTCTGGGAAAAAGAGAAAATTGTATTTGAATATTATATTGGTTACTTTTAATTGTCCAATTGACATAACCTATGATTATTGAGGGAGGGAGACTTAATAAAGAACCATGTACGTCAGATTGGCCCTTGGGCATGTCCATATTGTTATCAGAATTATTTGGATTGTTAACTGATAAGGAAAGCCTGCCTGAGTGTGAAAGGCACCATTTCCTGGTCTTAGCCCTGGGAGATAGAAGTAGGAGTATACATACTAAGATATATAATATATATATTTATAATTAGTAGAGGGAGTTAAAAAGCAATCAAGGATGCATTCTGCCTCTGCCCTTGACCGTGGATGTGATGTGGCTAGTGGCTTCCGTTGCTGCCTTGACCTATGCTCGGTGACAGACTATATGTTGTGTGAATTCTAACTGGTCTTAATAAAAGCCCAGAGTCAGATATTAGGAGGTGAAAGCTGAAAGAGCAGAGCAGCGGAGCAGCCAACCCTAGGTCTTAACTCTATAAAATCCTCAGACAAAGGGCGCGAGATCCTGTCTCCACAAAACCTCAGACTGAATCCTGAGTTCCTGTCTCTTCCCGCCTTATATTCCTCACTCCACCCAGTCATATCACTTCCTGTCTCCACCTCCCTAGTGCTGGGATTAAAGGCGTGAACCGCCACCACCACCACCCCTTGGCTCTGTTTCTCTTAGACTGATTCAATCAAACATAGCCCAAGGTGGCATTGAACTCACAGAGATCTGTCTGCCTCTGTCCTAGAGTGCTGGGATTAAAGCTGTGTGCCACCACTGCCTGGTCTCTAGGACTAGCTAGTGTGACTAGTTTCACACTCTGATCTTCAGGCAAACTTTATTTGTTTCTGCCCAAACAAAGAATCACCACAACTACATCTTGGAATTGTAAGCCCAGTCTGCCCTTTTCCCCCTGTGCTGCTTTTTGTCAGGATATTTTATGACAGCAACAGAAATTAACAAATGCATATCTGTTGCAGTATTGGTTATTATAAGGTGTGGCTTCTATCGAGTTTATCAACTTCATTTTTTTAACTTTCTTTTTATTTATTCTTCATGTCTTTCACATCATGTATTCTGATCCCATCCATCTTCCCATCACTTTGCATCCATATTCTTCCCTTGCAACTACCCCTCAAATTTACAATAAAATAAAATTTAAGAGAAAATAAAAGAAAAAAATCAATCTCATCATGGCAGTTGTAGTGTGACACAGTAATGGTGTAGGAGGATCTTCTTCCTATGTGTTGCTTTCATTGGTTGAATAAAGAAAACTGCCTTGGCCTTTTTGATAGGGCAGCCCTTAGGTGGGTGGAGTAGACAGAACAGAACTATGGGAAGAAGGGAAGTGTGACAGATGCCATGCTTCTCCTGCCCAAGATGGACGCTGGTTAGACTCATGCCGGTAGGCCACAGTCAAGTGTTTTCCATGTTTGCTTGCATTTTCATTTATACAAAGAGAGATATTTTTGCATTGCTGTATCATCTTCCAATAGTTTTGTTTTTGTTCTTCCTATGGTATTTTTCCCAGAAAGACTTACACAAGCCAAGGATCTGAATCCAGCTCATTGTGTGAACTTGAGCCACTCACCTTTGTATGTTTGCTTTCCTTTATAGCATTCTGCTAGGTAGGATCTCTGTAACAGTGTGCATGTGGTCCTTCCAGGGGGCCCCCATAATGGAAAAGCAGGAAGAAGATGAGTCTCTCATCCCCATGTTCCTCACAGAACTGATTCTGACGGTGCAGTCACTACTCTTCGAGCCGTCTTTGGAAGATTTCCTGGTGTGTATTTCATTATCTGATATCTGCAAGTAAGCGACCTTTAAAATAATGAAGCCCGTTCACATGGTCAGCTGATTGGTAAGACTGCAGTTAGCACAGCCCCCTTGCCTTGGGACAGAGCAGAGGCTTGGCAAGGCACTTTGTGGAGAGGACAATTCAGTGTGGTACAAAAAGTAGACTGATGAAACATCCCTCTGAGCAGAGTCTAAAACATCAGCTGTTGTAAATGCAACTTTGGAAGTCTTTTCAAAATCATGGTTTACCTTAAAAATTCTGATTTTTGATTATTCATCGTTCTTTAACAATAGCTCACAAATTTAGCAACACAAAATAATAATCATGCTTCCTCCCAGACTTGTTTTGTGTATTCTAGTATACTGTATACCTAATCTACTATGAAGTTATATGCACTTGGGCACAGTTTTAATTTGAGGTTCTAGTATGTTCTCTATTCATCTTTTTTTCTTTCTTTTTTTCTTTCTTTCTTTCTTCCTTTATCATTTCATTAATTACTTTGGAAACATCTTTGGGAAAGACTATAACATTTTTCACTATATATATCATAATTCATAAGTCTGAAATTACCATTTTTAACATTTTTGTTTTCCCTATTATTTTAGTTATTCAACAGTGAATGTCTTTGAGCATAAATCTTTGTTTCTATGTCTAATTTTTTCTCAGCTTACATTCCTAGAATAGAAACCATTTCCAAATACCAATAAACTTTTTTAAATACCAATAAACTTCTCCAAATACCAATAAACTTCTAACCATCATTTAAATTTTTTTCCCTGAAGTTCTATTTGGCTTTCCTCTCATGATCCTCTAGAGTTTTGTTCATATTTCAAATATGTCTCTCATTACAATATGTTGTAATTATTTTGTTTTTATTTGAGACCGAGTTTCTCTGTATACCCCTGGCTGTCCTGGAACTCGCTCTGTAGAGGAGGCTGGCCTCAAACTCACAGAGATCCACCCACCTCTGCCTCACAAGTGCTGGGATTAAAGGTGTGCACCCCCACTACCCAACAGGAGTTATTCTTATATATCAGAAAAATTTAAAAACTCCATAAATGCAGTCATCTGTGCTTACATCATGTTCGTGCTTTTCTCTCTGACAGGATGGCATTTCTGGGGCAATCAATCATTTTCAAAACACTGTGTTGTCAGTTCCTAATCTGGTGCCCGACTCATACTTTGACGCCTTCACCAGCCCATTCATTAACAGGAAGCTGGAAGAGAAGACCTGTGGCCCTGGACCGAGCCTGTCAGCGGTGTTTGAGGATGACAGGAATTTCCTCACCATCATCCTGCAAATAAAGGTAGATTTGCTTTTAGTAAAACTGTTGATTATATCCCCAGTTTGTAAGAAATCAAGGAATATGCTTTCTTCCCATCTAATCTTTGAATATTCCATTTGTAGAAATGGATAGGTACCTAATCTCTAAATAGTAAAATCTGAAAATGATGTAGATACCGTAAAGATTGTCCTGCTAGGGCCAGTGAGATGTCTCAGTGGGTGAACCTGTGTTTAATCCCAGGATAGAAAGAGAGAACTGACTCCTACAAGCACCTTGTACTCGGACCACCGTCAGTACGTGGCGGCACCTGCCGTCATACAAAATAAACAAGACTGCAAGAAAAACATTTTGTGTATGCTGCAAAACCAATGACATGAAAAACAAAGCTTACCACGTCGGGCAGGACAGTGGCCTGCCATTAGCAAACATGTGTTTCTTGGGACACCTTGGGTACAAATAGAGCAGAGTAAGGTCTTGCCAGCTGTAATTCTAATTGAAGTACTCGTTGTTAAATGTTTTGTGTGTTTTTAAGACACAATGTGATGATTTGAGGCCTGTTAGGGATTAGCTATAAAGGCTTCTTTTCATCACCCTTAAGTGCTAATGCTGACCATACATTTAACTTACTTAGTTTGTGTATGGGTGTGGTGGATGTGCACATGAAACAGCGAGCATGGAGGCCAGAGGACAGCTTGTAGGGCTGGTCCTGAAGACAAGCTCAGGTCATCAGATTTGGCAGCCTCCGGAAATGAAAGCTGAACTATGTCCCCTACCCTCCTCAATTGCCTTCTCTCCTGGACATCCACAAGACATTATGATTTTCAAACATAAACTTTGCCTACTTGTCCGTCATTCATTATACATCCAGCCTTATAAAACCTAAACCTAGTATGCAGTGAGTATTCCCACCCTCTCGGACGTCATACAAGCAGCACGGAGGTGCAGTCAGTAAAGCAACCGCTTGCAAACACGAGCACTGAGTTTGCAACCCCACAGCATCCATGCAAAAGTAGGACATGATGGCATGCGTCTGTAGCCTCAGCTGGGGGCCGGGAAAAGAAGACAAGCAAGGCCCTGGAGTTTACTGGCCAGCCAGTCTATCAGTTGGTGAGTCCCAGGTTTAATGAGAGCTCCTGTCTCAAAAAACAAGAAAAATAACAATTGAAGAAGACACTTAAAGGGCCACACAGAAAGACACACACACTGCAAATAAGTAAATAAGCAAGCAAACAAACAATTTTAGAAAATGAGGTGTGACAATAGTAAAGTATAATTTTTCAATAAACTCATGAGAAGAAATAATTTTTATCTAGCCAAGCTAGTCCCTTAAGAATCAAGGCTATAGAAAATCAGATTTAACAGTTTTCTCCAACGTAGAAAACATGGATATATCAACAACTCCTGGGCAGGCCTCATGTTCAAGAGTAGTTGACCAACACATAACAGACTCCACAGATTTTCTGTGTGCTATTATTTGGTTACATTTTGATAGAGGGGTATTTTTTCCTGTTTGGGTGTTGTTTTAGTTTGTTTTCTTGCTTTGAGGGTTTATTGTTATATTGGCTATTGGCTTGTTTCTAAGAAAGAACTTGAAGTTGAGTAGGGAGGAGGAAATAATCTGAAAAGACCTGGGAGAGGTGATGAGTGTGATCAAAATATAATTTAAAATAAGAAATGTTTAAAAAAGAAAAGCAGATTTAAATGTGCAAATGCCCTGGGAATTTGTTAGCCGCAGAGGAATCCACTAGAGAAGGAGTTTCTTTCACCTAAGGAAGGTGTGACTTTAAAGCAAATGAAACTCTGCTTAGTGTTTGCTACAACTTTGCTTGTGAATGTACAGAAGCCTAAAACAAAGACAGAGATGAGGATGCGAAGTAACGCACAGCTGAGGTGTGCTCCACTAAAGGAGAAATTGGGCGACTTTACACACCAAAGAGAACAGAAGAAAGACGGAAGGAGAAGGTTGAAGATCAATAACGAGGCCATGGGTAACAATTAAGTAGTTAGTAAAATCAAAAAATCAAATAATGAGATTAATAAATCAGTAATTAAGTAATTAAACACAGAAATAACTAGAAAACATATTTTTAAAATCTGACCATATCAGCAATGCAATGAAGAGTGAGCTCTGCCCACCTCTGAAATGAAAGAGTCGGGGCTCATGTGTGACAAGTGAGGGCTCTACCACCAAGCTACATCCTCAGCCCTCTTTCTACTCTTGATTTTGAGATGAGGTCTCACTGAGCTACCATGGTTGGCTCCTCCCAAGGCCCAGGCAGGCCTTGAACTTGGAATCCTCTTGTTCCGGCTCCTAAGTAGCTAGGATTGCAGATCTGTGGCACCAGGTCCAGTTTAAACAAAGACTTTCAATTTGGTCTACAAAGCTGCGCAACCAATATGTTACCAAAGCGAACGCAGTGATTCTGAAAGGCTAAACTGGAGGGTCACTCATGGGTATAAAGAGCAGACAAGCCGTAAGAATGCAGAGCTTGTGGTCCCAGAGTGGAAGAGCCCCAAGACCACCGCACATTCTGTGCTTTGCTAGGCAATCCCGGGGACTCCGGGTACAGTTGTTCACAGAGCTGTGATTTAATACAGGGATAGACTGGAGAGTGAGAGCAACAAAAGGAAAGCAGCTGGAAATAAAGTCCGGGAGAAGGGAGCACAAGCCCCCAGGGCGGGCTCCCAGGGGAGGTACAGAGAAAGAAGCACTTGATCCCTTCCACAGCTAGCAGTGAGGAGCCCTGAAACGAGTCTAGCAGGCATGCTTAGCTTCTCAACCCGGGTTCCCACTGAGTCTCACCATGAAGGTATGCTCTGCCTAGCAAGGGCCAAATTGTTAGACTCCCCCATGGGAGAGCAGATGTTCAGCATAAACCACGTTTTTCTGAATTATTCAGCTATGAGCCACGCTTTCCGGACAAGAAATGGTGGAGCCCTTTCTGAAACCCAGGTTTTCTGATCTTGAACAAGCGCCATCTTTGCAGGCAGACCTTTCCAAGGGGAGCAGTGTCTTGTCTGCTACAGTAACCCTGATGTCACATAGAGGACTGTTTTAAGTCAAAAAGCACTAATCGAGCAAAAAAGAGTTAGCTCTTTTAAGACCCACAATTTGTAATAAAACATAAAATGTATGTGTGGCAAATATGTCAGGAGACGCTTTCATAAGACTAAGAGGCAGACTAAACAAACAGAACATTAAAAAAATAGTGTAAATAAAATACCTTAGCATACCATTCTCATCCAAAGGAAGACCAAATGGAAAAGAAATAAGAATGGATGAGGTCTGACCAATACAATCAGAATGAAAAGAAATGATCCTTAAAACAAGCAAAAGCCTTTAAAAAGCTCTGATGTTACTATGTAGATGCTGATCAAAATAAATATGTATATTTAGGTGAGGCATGTTTACCATAATGAGCCACACATAGAAACCTTGCCATAGGGAAAGCTGCACCTTACAAAAAGCACAGGGCTCCAGTGATTTCATAGGGAAATATTATCAGTTCTCCAAAGACCACTTTGCTCTCATTCACTTCCCTGCCCTTAAGATCTTATCCTCCCTTTTCATGGTTCCTTTTGGTTTATTACCCCTGACACACATCATACATATGCACATAGATGAAATCCAGTTTCTGCAGGTAAGAGAAACAAATGGAATTTGTCTTTCTGAGTCTGGTTTATTGAGAGTGGGGAGAACACACGTGATGTGAAAGGAGGAGGGACTGCTGGGGAAGGAGGGAGATTCCTCACAAGAAAGATCGGTCTGGGAGGGGAAATAGAATGGCACCTATGTATAACACATGTAATAAGACTCATTGCTTTATATAACATGTAAAACAATTTCCAAGGATAAAGTACAATGCTATATAAGTTGTTCTAAAATAGAACAGAATAGAATAGAAATGCCTAAAGGGAAAAGTCTCCACTCAGATTAATAAAAAGAGGCTAATAAATGGTGATAACCCAATAGGAAATATTAAAAACATACATATGAACATAAAAAGACTTTGAAGATTTTGTGGCAGTCATAAGCTGGAATTGAAAGAGTTTTCTTAGATGGGATGGTTCTGTGTAATAAAGACATCCTTGACTCGAAGAGGTAGGCAAACTTAATAATCAATCTGGTAAGTTAAAACCTGAAAAGAGACCGAAGGACCAATGCATCCAAATCAAAGACCCAGATATCAATCCACAAACCTATGAACACCTTATTTTTGACAAAGAAGCAAAAAATATAAAATGGAAAAAAGAAAGCATATTCAACCAATGGTGCTGGCATAACTGGATATCAACATGTAGAAGAAAGAAAATAGATCCATATCTATCACCATGCATAAAACACAAGTCCAAATGGATCAAAGACCTCAACATAAAGCCAACCACACTAAACTGAACCCAACGATGTTGCATTGAGATTGAAGTCATGACTCATGGTTTTTAATTGGCTGGTAGAAAAACAGGGAATTAAGTTTTATGCATGCATGCAGTGTGAGTGTGTGTGTGTGTGTGTGTGTGTGTGTGTTTAGTACTGTTAGACTGAATTCTACTATCCTACTTAAAATTGCCATGGGAGTTAGAAAGATGACTTAACAGTTAAAAGCGCACACACTGATCCTGCAGAGGATCCAAGCTTGATTTCCAGCACACACACCAGGCAGCTCGCAACTCTAAGTCCTGCTTCAGAGGATCAGATGCCTCTGCCTTCTGTGGGCACCTGCACTTGTGCATATACCTCCTCCTCCTTCCGCCGCCCCCCCCCCCACATGTAACTAAATATGATAAGAAAGAGAAGAAAATAGTCCTGTTCATCTTCTACCACTTAGGAAACAATCCACGCAGCATTCGATTCTGCATGCTTGTACGCAGCAACGTTTGAAAAGTTTCAGATATTCTTCAAGGAAAATGAGAGTCTTGATCTGCAGGCGCTGAAGCAGCAGGAGCCTGGTGAGTTCCCATCTGCCCTCACTTAGCACATCTGACAGAGATAACAAATTTTGTCATCCTCTAGGTCTCTGTTCAGTGAGAACTAGCAGCCAGAAACAGCTGACTTGACAAAAGACAGGAACTTATCCATGTCTAATCTTTTCCATGGAATCTCCCATTCTTTTTCCCCTCACTCCATCTGTGTGTGTACTGTGGGAGGCAGTTGCCCAGTTCCTCTGTGGTCTATCTGTTGAGGTTGCTGTGAGTACCATGGCTCCAAGACCTGTGTGTTACAGGGACTTGAAAGGGATCTTAGATTAAGTCTAACTTCCAGACGACCTTGTCCACCTTAGGTTAGATCTGATACCTCAGGAAACTCTAAATGTAGCTCTGAAGCACTTCGACAAGGTGAAGACCACAAAAAGTGAGCGTAGACTCCTTTGTTTCCTGCTGCATATAAAATTTAAGTTACACTACATTGTAGTCTGCTAAGTGTATGGTAGCATTATGTTTTTCAAAAAAGGCACTATGCCTTATTGTGTCTGTGGAGTGTTCAGTCACAGAAAGGACATCTTCACCTGCCTCTCTTCCACAGAGCTTCAGGATCCATGGCAGGTAGGGGTCAGGAGGACTGGAGTGAAGCAGTATCTTTTGGATATGCATGACCACTGCATGAATGACCTCTCAGCAGCTGTGGTTTCCTATACAAGACCTGTATAAGATCAAGCCAGTCAACATTCCAGCATGGATGGGGAAGGTGCTCAAAATCCCCAAACTCAGCTCAGGAACTACTGATAGCTGATGGCCAATAGGGGAGGGAGAGCCAGTTTTCTTAAAAGGCGTGGCCCTGGCAAGCCAGCTAAGTTGTTGTGGATGGTTCCACTCCCAGGAGTATATGGGTCATACAAATTGGAGTCAGTACATTATTTAGGGAAAAAAGGACACAAAGTGAAGAGTAGTGGGAGTGGAGATGACATGCCCAGCAGGTCCTAAGTTACTCCAGGGTCTGAAAGACATGGGAGGAAAGAGAAACGGATGCCAAGCAGTATTCCTTGTCAAGGCATCCCGTTTATTAAAGCAAGTTTCATGTCTTAAATACTCCTCAGAAAGGAGCTCGGGCAGGGGGGACTGAGGAAAAGGGGAAGGGAAGGAGGGGCTCGGTAGCTAGGCAACTAAGTGGGGCAGTTTGGCAGCTAAGCAGGGCAGTTGCAAGGTCAGTGGCTAGAACACCTGCTGTTAGTGATGAGCAGAAAGCCCTGAAGACACTCTGTGGTGATTTCCAGAGCTCCGAGTCTTCACGATCAGCAAGTAATGTTTTGGCTAACTTTAAGTTTTCTTGTCTCAAGATTTTTACTTCAAGGCCCTGTGAGATGTGAGAAGCCTGAAATGGCTCCTGACATGGAGATCTAGGGTATGGGTGTAGGAGGAGTGGGGATGGTAAAATCACAATAAAATATACAAATTAATAATAGAAAATGTTAGAAGCTACACCCATGAAGTCTCGCCAGACTGACTGCTTAAATATGAACAAGGACAACATAATAAACATGCCAAAGTGGATGGAAACCAGCCATGAGGCCTTGACCCTATACAAAGAACTATAGGGAACCGAGGAATGAGGGGAGTGAGAGAAATAGTCTTCCCCAGGGAAGAGCACACCAGTTGGGTTTCCAGCACCAATAGGTCAGCCCTGGAAACATACAAAGAGGTAACATTATGCACACTATGCAGGTTGTATCTAGGAATAAATATGCATATGTATATAGCAGCAAGTAATGAAAAAGAGGCCATGAATTTGGAAGAGATGAAGGAGGAGTTTATAGGAGGACTTGAAGGAGGAAAGGAAATGGGGAAGTTATCTAAGTATTATAATCTCAAAGGTAAAAGAAATAATAAAAAGCACATTACTAAAAATGTCGACAGACCTTCTTCTGGCTAGAAGCGCAGCGTCTGCGAAGTGTGAAAATACAGCATGAGAGGCAGGCCCAAAGTCAGTCACTTTATCTCTGAGTGAGGGCCGGAGACAGGTGTTGACACTGTAAAACAGTGGGGTTTTTATTATGAGAAAAGGGTATTTATTAAGCATTATGAATTAACACTTTAGACATACAAAGCATTCTAAGTATGGGTAATAGCAAAAACACATACATAAATTTATTAATTTTTCCTTGGGTGTATTCTTTGTGATGGTAGCATGTTACATAAAAGCTTTTCAGACTGGTAAACACTGGACAATGAGAATACATCTCCTCCGTACCCCACCCTTCCATCACCCCTCCCCCACCCAGCCTTCTTCCCCGTCTCACTCCTCTCCTGTCCCTCTGGAAGATTTCATTTCTACCTTCATGTCATATACACACATGCAACTTTATGTGTCTATGTAAAATCTATGGACCACATAGGACACAATATTTGTTTTTCAAGATTGACTTGATTTGCCTAATATGATGAGCTGTAGTCATTTCCTGCATGTGACATAACTTGATCCTTTGTAGCTGAAAAAACTCCATTGTGTGTATCAGTCGCCTTGTCTCTACCATTTCTGCCGCCACACACCAAGGTTGTTCCCAGAGTGGCGCTGCAGTAGCGTTGATGTACCAGTGTCTCTGGTGCACTGTCCGGGAGCCCTTCAGCTCTCCACGGAGAAGTGGTGCAGCTGGGTCAAGTGGTAGATGTGTACGAGCTAGTTGGCAGTCTCACCAGCAGGGAATGAGGGCTCCCACTCATCCACACCCTTGCCAGCATCACGTCTTATCGTTTGTTACTTAATGGCCGCCCTTCAGGCTGGGGTGGTTTTTAGTCTACTGTAGGCTGCTCCTTTAAAAACTACTGTGAAGGATTCAATCATTTATGCTTCTCATTTTCTGTAGATGTCAAATTCTTCAGTACACAGCTGGAAAAATATCACAAGCAGCACAAGGACTCGGTAGCCCTGAGACCCACCCGAAACGTAGGCCTGCTGCTTATTGACACCAAGCAGCTGAAAGAGAAACTAATCCCCTCGCCGCTGCGGTGTTTGGAGGTAACTGTGAGAAAGGTCAACATGTGGCGTCCACTCTTCTTATCATTGTAATTATGGTGTCTGCTAATAGTTCATACATTAAAAAGAAATATATTCATCTTTGCGCATTACAAATGTTGAAATTACCATAATAATATTGGTGATCCCTGATCTGCATACACGTGTGTGTCTGTGTGTGTGTGTGTGCGCGCGTGTGCTGTTGCAGGTGTGTGCATATGTGTGCAAGTCCCAAGGACAGCCTCAGCTGTCATTCTTCAGAAACCATCCACCTTCTTTCTTGAGACAGGGTCTCCCATTGGCCTAGAATCCACCAAGTCAGCAAGGCTGCTATGAGTAAGTTCTAGGGATCCACGCATCTCTGCTAACTCAGCCTTGGGATGGCAAATGCATACCACACATGGCATTTTTATGTGTGTTTGTGGGACCAAACACAGAATCTAGTGATTGTACAGCAAGCACTTTGCTGCCTATCTCTGCAGCCCCACCCTTCATTTGTAGGAAAAAGCCTATATTCTTTCTGTCGCAGACATTTTCAACTTTTAGATGCCATAGGGAAGGAGATTGTAGGCTTCAATTTCCCACTCCTGTTTCCTTGGAACATTTCCAAACTTCCCTAGAGAAGCTACCACTGGTAGCTCAGTGTGCCAGTGGGACTGTTGCTCAGCCAGAATGCTGAGATCAAGTTTAAGGGGTCATTTCCTGAGCCTAACTCTTCTTAAACATCCAGAACAACTCAGACAACCAAAATAGTATGTCCTTTAGCTGCAGCACTTGGTTGCAGATTCTCAAAGGCCTCCAGAAAACAATGGAAAAACACAGCCAGAGCGCTCCATGGCTCATCAACTTGACTATTGTTCTGTACACATAGTTTAATTAGAACAAGTAAAGTCAACATGTTTAAGCACTGCCTGTGGCTTCTTGCCCTGCTATGAGGACACAGCTGGGTGTTTGAGACAGATAGTGTATGCCCTTGCAAGTCTGACATATTTACTGTCTGAACCTTAAGGAAAATCTTTGCTGGCTCTAGGTGTACATGCTAGAAGATAGTAAGAGTGGCAACCTGAATGCGGATTTCTGTTGTGGCATTGTGTGTATGACAGAGAGCTTTCTTCCGGTGTGTGCTTCCTTGTCTCTAAGAAAGAAAGAGGAAGGAAGGAAGGAAGGAAGGGAGGGAGGAAGGAAGGAAGGAAGGAAGGAAAGAAAGAAGGAGAAAGAAAAAAGAGAGAGGCTGGAGAGATGTCCAGTGGTTAAGAAGATGTTCACTGGTTGCTCTCCCCAGAGGACCTGAGTTTGGTATCCACATGGCAGCTCACAACCACCTGTTCAGATGCTTTCTTCTGGCCTCCAAGGGTACCAGTCATACACATGGTATACATATATAAATATTTCATATATTACATATAAAAAATTTCAGATAAAATAACAATAAACATTCATTTTAGCAAAAGATAAAAATTGGAGTAAATACAAATTAATTTCATCTTTTTTTTTTTACCACAACAAACATACCAGTTCAAAAAAATAAAATTCAGACTTAGGTTTGCAGAAAACATTCATAAACAGCCAGAAATTGAGTGAACACCATTGTCCCTACAACACCAGGCACTCAGCTTCTCTCATCCTACTTTCTAATTCCTAGATGTGCCATCACTCTAAAATGAGCATTGCCTCGTGGTTATCAAATGGCGCTTGAAAGTTTCTACAGGCTCAATATTTCCTTGTCGATATAAAATGGGAAAGAAGAGACTAGAGGTTTAGGCACTTATCTCCCTCACCCAGAACAAAAACTGTCAAGGTCGGAGGTTCACCCTAACCCAATCACTTTGTTCCAAAGAGACCTTGCTCATATTTACCCTGGGATCAGGCAATCTTTGTCTTTGTTCTCAAAGAGAGACCAGTTTCTTCCAAAGCACATGGCTGAAACCCATTAGGAAAAGAGTGGACCCGGGCCTGACGCTGCACGGGGAGCCTTGTGTGTCCACCATGAAGGCAGCCTCGCAGAGTGTCAGAGCGCTAAGCTAAATGCCCCACCTACAAATGACTGTCATTTGGAAAGCAGTTACTAGTGAGAGATCGTCCTCACACACCACCTGATTTAGTGCTGTTGAGACTTCTTAAAGTACGTAAGAATGCAGAAATATCCAATGATTTATGATCTTCGTCTTATTTTTTATTTCTTAGGTACTAAATGGCATGCTTCCCTGTTTGAGCAAGAAAAAAGTGGATGCCATCATCTCAGAGGCCCAAGATGCAGAGTATAAGCTCGAGTTCGTTCCCACCACGACCATAGAGTATGTAAACAGCCTAGTCTTCCTTGACGAAATCCAGGAGCGGGTAAGTTGGTTGTTCTCCTGTAATTCAGTGTCTCCGACCACACAGTAAGAAAGGAACACACATGACAAGAGACAAATGAGGGACCCTGGATCAGGAAACAGCTGCCTAAATGTCAGAAACACTTTCAGGCATGGTTAATGATGCCCTGTGTTTTAACAGTAACGGCAGCTAATCTTTACCAAATTCTAGCCATTCAGCAGGTATTGCACGAGTTTCACGCACCTTACATCTCTTTCTTCACAAATGCCACAGAGGAGGAAACAAAGTAAAACAGGCTGTTAGCCAACGTCACGGAACCTGCAAGTGGTGAAGCGGGAATCAAAATCTGAATGTCTTTGACCACAAAGTCAATATTCTCAAGCATAGTTTGTGGCCGTTCTTGTTTAGCAGTAAGTGGTAACATGGATGTTGGTCATCATGGGGTTATAATCCTTTAGCCTATACCTACATAACACCTCGAGGTTTTCTGTTAAAAGCAGATGAAAGAGGACTGGAAAGATGGCCCAGAGGTTAAGAGTCCTGAGTTTAATTCCCAGCAACCACATGGTGGCTCACAACCATCTGTAATGAGATCTGGTGCCCTCTTCTGGCCTGCAGGCATACATGCAGGCAGAACACTGTATAAATAGATGAATCTTTTTTAAAAAGTGGAAAAAAGCAATGCAAACATTAGCTTAAGTAGAGACAGTCTCTCTGTCTCTCTTCCTCCTTCCCTCCCTTCTTTCCTCCCACCCTCCCTCCTGTGAGCCTCTTTTGCTTGCTTTCTCCCTGGAAACTTGATTGATTTCCTCTAAGGCTCTTCCCTGAATTCATTCCTATCGGTTTGTCACTGAAGTAGAGATAAATCATTTTCTAAAGTATCAAAATTTGAATAAATGTGACAAAGTAAAAGTTGGTTATGTTATTAACAGCACTAACAGTAAAGCCTCTTTCACTTGCCTGCAAAAGAAGCATTCCTGTCTGTTATTTCGAGAACAGCAGACTTGCTTCATCCCTGAGGACTAAAGATACCAAAGATTTATCCTTATGTGTTCATGACTGTGTTTAGCCAAAGAGCCAAGCCTTTCATGACCTACTCTATGCCCAAATGGGGTCATCATTTAATGATTCAAAGCTGTCTCACGGAAACTCTTATCACAAGTATGGCCCGGTTCAGAACTGACCAAGGACAGAACAGGACAGCTTGAATCCTCCCTCTGCACCCGTCCTCTCTGCTTCTCTTTGGGGGTCACTGCTCTTTCTCCAACCCACAGGCTGCGGCTTAGAAAATGGAAACATGGGCTGGAGAGGTGGCTCAGAGGTTAAGAGGCCTGGCTGCTCTTCCAGAGGACCTGAATTCAGTTCCTATTACATCAACAAGTTTGCAACTGCCTGTAACTCTAGCCCCCAGAGGATCCAGACTTCTGGCCTCCTCAGGGACCCACGTGCATGTGTGTGCATGCGTGCACACACCACCAAATAATAAGATATTAATAAAAGAAAAGAAGTGGAAAATGTATTCTAAATTTGCCTGAGATTTTCTGGTTCCTATGGATAGATCAAAAGGGTGAGGTAGGGACAAGGAAAGCACAGAAGAAACAAAAGGCCTTTCCTTCCTCTCTGATCTCTGTTCCTCTAGAAAACAGCTTCTCAGAAGGGGCCAGACCAGAGCAGATAAGAGAGAGCCTGGGTGTTTGTTCAGAAGGCACACCCCTGGGCCCCTTTCTAGGCCTTGTAAGTCAGAACCACTGGGAGGAGCACTTCAGCCTGTGTGAAGGAGCTCCCTGAGGTCCTTGTCCCGCATGCTAAAGGAAGAGAACTGTTCTCCACATGCCTCCCTTCAGTCAAGGCCACATGTTAAGGAGCTGTAGTCAGCTTCCACACAAAAGCAGATAGCTGTGATTACATCTGCCTCTAACTCTGGCTGTGCTTAAGAGAAAGGTCAGTAGGAGCTGGATTCTCCACGTCCCAGCTGAGCAAACCTGATGACTTATAGAACCACACAGTAGAGTTGGGGTTGAGGGATTGCCTCCAAACTGCAGAACCATTTGTTTCCAGAAAATTAGGGAACACAGGAAACACACTGTCCGCTGAAAGTAGACCATCAAGGTTGTTGAATAGCCATTTGAGATTCAGTAAAATCATTTAGCAAATTAGAGTGAGGTATCACTATAAATCTGGGCTCTGAACCTGTGAACTAGAAACTGTCCACACCCGAGGGACTGCTCCAGAGTGACAGCTGCTCAGCACATGCCCTTGACGCTCAGATGCAAGCAATCAGAGCGTCTATGATCTTAGAAACTGCATGGCAGCAATGAACGGGAAGTGGGGAGAGAAACTCCTTTCCAAGACTAAACTGTACTCAGCTCTGAACATTCACCCCACACACACACTCAATTACCCAATTACCTGTACTGGAGCCAGGCTTGTATTTATCACGGGATCATCTTCAGCCAACTAGATGGCCATGCCAAATGCACTCATGAGCTGTTAACACTGTGGTGTTCCTGTTTCATGGGGCTGTCTCCTATTAGAAAGCATTACCATTCCATTGTGTCTCACCCACCCATGTTTCCGTGTAGATCGAAAGCCTGGAGGAAGAAGGGAACATCGTGATTCAGATGTACAAGCTCATTGAGCAGTATCAGGTGCCCACACCTCCTGAAGACTTCGCGGTTTTCGCCACCATGAAGCCGTCCATTACTGCCGTGCGGAACGCCATTGACAAATCAGTGGGTGATCGAGAAACAAGCATTAAACAGTTTTGTACGCACTTGGGTCGCGATCTTGAAGATCTCAACAATGAAGTGAACGAAGTCAAGCTGCTGGCACAGGTGAGCGGAAGCAGGATCTTTCCAAATAACCCATCCGGGTTGATGATTACAGGTTCCTTAAAATTAGGTCAGATCAACAAATAAAAACGGTATGTATCACATGTGTATCTCTACGTATGTATTATAGAGTTTATTAAGCTAATCGTTCTATCACATCGCATAGTTATTGTTTTACAGTGAGAACCTTAAAATTTATTCTTTTAGTGCTGTGAAGACAAATATTGCATTTCAACAAGTTAGTTTTATTTTTCCTTGTTTTACTTTAACCAATTCCTCAAGCTGCTCTTTAAAGCTTAGGCATTTCTGAATCTCTCTTTTAGTGTTATGAATGAATTCGAGGCCACTGTAAGTCAAGTGTGTGCTTAATATTCAGTTTTCTTTTTCATGGATGGTATCCAATATATTGAAATAAGTGTATTTGTTGCTTCCTAATTCATTTTATAGCTGATGTCACAGTGTAAAATTTGTTGAGGATATTGGAAAATTTCTCTTAATATTAGGCATAATATAAGTTGATAAAGAGGAGTAGAGATTATTTAGCTTGCATCAGACTTTATGGAAAAGTTTCAGAAATCCAACCATCCATCTAGATGATTCTTAACTAAAATATACCTGGAAGCATTTTTAATAATTCACTATTTTATTATCATTTCCTAAATCTTAGCATAGAATAAGAACGCCACAGTAGAATTCTGAAAATAGAAAAAAACGCTCATCAATAGAAGATTAATAAAGTATATTCATGTAGATCTCTTCGAGTGAGCATACTGCACTAACAGTTACAATATACATTTATATTAGCGTGGAGACATTGAAACCAACTAACACCCTGTGGTTCAGAGAACTTGCTGTTGTTGTTATTTTTATATTGAAACTTTTAAAAATTTTTCAAACAGACTAGATGTATATGACTATAATAACATAGGCTTCAGTGAGTTACCAGGAAGTGAGTACAGCTGTGTCCCTATATCAAGAACTATGGCATTCCTCATGTCCTTGAGCTCCCACCTGTCTTCAAAGGCAGCTATTGCTCTGAATCCCAACGTCTCAGAGCCATACAGTCCATAACACCTTGTATGGTGTAGTTGGTGTTTATTTGTTGTTCTGTGGTATTTAATCATATTTCAATTATTCGTTCCACATTTGATAGACATTGTCTAAAGTATTTTAGATAAAAAGATAAAGAATGCTTCTAGAAGCCATCCTACATGTGTCTGCTATGCTTTTATATATTCTCGGAACACATGTACATCTTAATCACGTTTTACAGAGAAGAAAGTAAGACACAGGAAAGAAAGTTGTCCAGGGTCACAGAGACGATAAATGGTGGAACCAGGACTTAGGCACATGCCGTGTGCCTTCAATGGTTACCGTAGCTGGCGATTCCTGTGCCATGTGCTATGATGTGTACATTGAAGATCATCAAAGCATGAGTAACTATCAGAAGAACAAAATACTAGCACATGCCTCATGTGTAACTGTGTATTTCAACTATGGCAACAGATGCCAAGCACTGTGGCCTGGGTATCCCTAGCAAGTCCATCCTGTATGGAAGGTTTGAATAGATTCCCTCTCACTCTTGGGCAAAAAACTATAATCCACAGTTTGTTCCACAAATAGCACCATTTGCTCTCAAGACTCCCAGACACATGGGTGGAGGGAAGCTGGGGAGAAAAGCTAACATGATAACCAGTGACAACAGGAGAACTGGTGAGCCAGATGTTTGAAGGCCATACTGAGAAAGTCATGATCACTGACGTGGTCTCTGGCAGAACTGATGGTTTATAGCAGTAGGAACTGGCATGGTGCTTAAGGAAACTAAGGACCATTTGCTAGCAGCTGCCTGGGAAAACCAGGTTCAGCCCAGTCATGGCAAGGGCACCAGTGTCCACATGAGGAGCTTCTGCAATGCCAATTCCATTGCCATTTTCTAACCTAGGACACACTGCCATTTTAATGCAAGGCCACGCTGGGCAAGAGATTGATTATTTGGTCCCCAAGTGATGGCTATAAGAGTTCTTAGATTTTACTATCCCCTCAGATGCTGCCAAACCTAGTTAGGTGTTTCTATTCTGTTCTTGACCTATGCTATGCCCATTTTCTGGGCTTTCAACCACCATATGTCAGCCAGACATTTGCCTTAAAACATATGCCTTCACTTTATTTTCTCTCTTCCTCTCTGTAATTATACACATGAATATGATATTTTATACATATGTATTTATACAATTTAGGCCTTGTGTTTATAATTTTACAGTTTCTGGCTCATAATTCCCATAGTACAGGTTTTGATATTTTCTAGATTATTTAATAAATAACCTACCTTAGTTATTGTTCTATTGCTGTGAAGACACACCATGACCAAGTCAATTCTTACAAAGAGAACATTTAGTTGGGGGCTTGCTTACAGTTTTAGAGGTTTAATCCATTATCATCACAGCAGGAAGCATGGAAGCAGACAGGTAGGTATGGAACTGAGAACTTACATCCTGATCCACAGGCAGATGGGAGGGCAGGAAGGAGACAGGGTGGGGAGGAAGGAGGCTGGGCCTGGCACTACCAGTGTCACACCTCAAACAATGCCACAGCCCCTAGTCCTTCTAGATCTTCTCCAACAGTTCACCCATAGGGACGTAGCGTGCAAATGCATGACCTGTGGGGGCCACGCTCATCCCACATCTCATTGGAACCGCCATGTGATCTAAACAGTAAGAAGAACACCCTCGCCCTTTCCCCTGGTTTTTAAAGACGCCTTGGAATAACCTTAAAGTGTAAAGGGAAAACGGAGCCTTGTCACAATGCCTGGGTGCTGCAGGCAGCAGAGTCAATCTCTCTACCTTCTTTTCGCTCCAAGGGAAGCCAAAGAAACTTCTGTTTCTCTTCACCAATGGTGGCACGTAGTGAAAATACACTGCAGTGCCCCTCATCTGCAATGTTTCCTTGGATATGGCCATGATGACATTTTCTGATAGTAGCTCATGAGCCCACCCCGCCAATGCCCCTTCCACTAAGGGTCTTGACCCAGCCTAAGAGGAAAGAATTCTGCACAGATACCAAGAAGATTCCAGACAGGTTGCTGGGTTTCTCCACTCAGCCTGTTAGCACTGACCATGTTGTTTTTATCTAGTTCATGCTTCAACACTGTAGTAAGAGGAGCGGCGGGCTGTGTCCCGGCCACCCGACTAGCTTATTCCCTGAAATAACCACACGGAAAATTGTATTAATTAAATTGCTGCCTGGCCCATTAGCCCTAGCCTCTTATTAGCTAACTCTCACATCTTGATTAACCCATTTCTATTAATGTGTATCGCCACTTGACTGTGGCTTACCGGCACAAGTCTAACCAGCATCCGTCTCGGGCAGGAGAATCATGGCGTCTGCCTGACTCTGCTCCTCAACCCAGCATCCTGTTCTCTTTTCCCCACCTATCTAAGTTTTGCCCTATCAAAAGGCCAAGGCAGTTTTCTTTATTCAACCAATGAAAGCAACACATAGAAAAAAGGACCTCCTATACCACAACACAGTAATCTATGCCTCAAGTATGTTTACATAATAAATTCTAAATACAAACCCCAAAGGTTTGTATTTAGGTTTACAAAGTCAAACACCTGAAAAGTGATGGCCAAGGGAGGTGCAAAGCTCCGTGCCCCCTTCCCCCATGTCTCAATATGTGTCTCTTCATTGTCTCCATCATTAGAGTCTTCTTAAGCTGCTGAAGTACAAATATCATCCTATGTTACTTATCACCACTATGATAAATAAGTTAACTGACCCTAAGGAAGAGTCGTGGGAACGTCAATTAGTCAGAAGCACAGGTAGGGGGCTTGCAGTTGGCATCAGAAGGAGAAAGACCTTGGGAGCAAGCTCTCAGGCTGTGGCATCCAAGGTGTCTGCAGATAGATGGCATCAGGCTGAACTGGAGGACTCTTAGCCAGGGGCTGCCACAGAACCGCTTGGTTTGCTGGGAAAAGAACGCACACACCTAGCATCAGAAGCACATTGTGAGAACATACTTAGAGAATCTGATTTTCCTTACCGTCTCTCACAATTCAAAGCCTTTTCTGTTGCTTTGTTTTAAGAAGGAAACTATCTTTCTGTCACAGTCTTCTCTTCTCTCCCCATCATATTCAGATCTCTATGGCTGAGGTCTTGTTTCAAGGAAGAAGTGAAGGAGACTTTACTAGGTTCTAGTTTATCATTGTATGTGTCGGGGGAGAGGAGGTACACACATGCCGGGGTGCTTATACATGCCGGTCAGAAGGCAGCTTGCCCCTCCCCCTCAGTATGTGAGTCCCAGGGGTCAAATTCAAGTCATCCAAGTTGGAGGCAAGTGCCTTTGCACACTAAACAATCTTGACAACCCCTACATTCTGTTTTTCTTTCCTTTTTTCAATACAGTATTTTTTCGGTATAGCCTTGGAATCTGTCCTGGAACTCACTCTGTAGACCAGACTGGCCTTGAACTCACAAAGGTTCGCCTGCCTCTGCCTCCCGAGTGCTGGAATTAAAGGCATGCGCCACCTCCTTTCTGCTTACATTCTGTTTTAAAAAGTGTCATATCCCTATTTCATGTCTTTCTACAATTTTCTACTCTGCTTACGTTTAACATTTAAGGAGAAAAAAAACCCAAACACTTTTAACACAGTTTTCAAGAAAAGAGAATTAAAGAAAATGCATTTTGGAAACAGGTTTATTAACTTCCCTAGCCTTCATGAGCGAGTAAGCTGCCTAACCAGAACCCCCATGGATTTTACAGGACCCACAGATCTTGGATATTTCTGCTGACCAGGATAAAATAAAGTTGATGCTGAGTGATCTGCAGTCCATCCTGGATGACCTTCAGAGACGTGCCTTTCAGTATAAATCCTACCAGAAGAATTTCAAGGTAACCATGGTTGTTCACTTCTGCTTCTAGAATGCACACACAAAGATGTGATTATGTATAATTGCTTTCAACAAACCAGAACCACTCAGTGGACAGTTGTGTTCTGGTCAATGTGCCACCAGCATGTCAAGATAGAGCAGTACACAGGAGTGCTGGAGAGATGGCAGATACAGTGCTCAATACATAAGTGTGAGGACCAAGTTTGGATCCCCCCACACCTGCACCCATATAAAAGCCAGATGTTGCAGCCTGCCTGTGATTCCAGCAGTTGGGAGGTGGAGACAGCACCAGGGCAAAGTGGCTAGCTGGGTTAGAAAAATTGGCAAGTTCTGGGTTCAGTGCTTCAAAATATCAGGCAGAGAATAATCAAGGAATATCTGACATCAACCATGGTCTTCTACATGCATGTGCACACATATAAACATACGTGTGCCCACATGCTTACACAAACATATCCACACATGCATGCATCACACATACATACATATGCAAAAAATAGTATAAATGAGAGACACAATACCCTCATGAAAAATTCTCAGCCAAACCCTCCTGAAGTTGCTATGTTAAAATAAGTATGCATTTCAAAATGTGGTTAACTAATGCCCCTCTAAATTTTCTTAGTAAAATTCAAGCTTTTTTTCATTTGGATGTATTTTGATTCCATGAGCTTTGCCTGATTTGTTCTGGTTAATATGAAATAAAAACTGAGCCAGAAGGTAAAGTGAGTCCCAAAAGGTAGGCTTGAAGGGCTGAGGATGGAGACGGAGAAAGAAGAGAACCAAGAGATGCTCATGCCTAAAACAGCATTTACAGAGAGCAATGAGATAAATGAAAAAATAGAAAATAAACACCATATCCTTATTCATCAGGGAAAAGCAGATTGAAATTGCATTGTAGCCCATCTGACCCTAGTCAAAATGATTACTGCTAATCAAACAGCAATGGACATGGTGGTGAGGATACGGAGAGAGGGGATTGTTATACACTGCTTGTAGAAATGTGAATTAACTTGGCAACTATGGAAACCAATATGGGGTTCCCCAAAAACTAAAAATATTATACAGCTATACCATTCCTGGGTATATATCTGAAGGACTTTAAGTCAACCTGCCACAGACATATCTATATATCCATATCTAATGCTGTACTATTCAAAATGGGAAAGTTATAGAAACAGTCTGGATTCCCACCAAGACAGAAAGATAAAGAAAATATGATCTGTGTACACAATGAAGTTCTGCTCAGACATAAGGAAGAATGAAATTATGTCATTTCCAGGGAAAATGGGTAGAAATTATCATGCCAAGTGAAATAAGCCAGACCCATAACCATAAAGATCGTGTGTTTTATTTGTGGATTCTAGATTTTATATAGATAGCTCTTAAAATGCATGTATGTGACCTGAAAACAGATGGGAGATGTGAAAAGGGAGCTTATCAATAGGAAAAGAGAGAAAATTTAGGGCAGTGTATGGGTTAGAAACGATCACAGTGCTTGATACACTTGAAAGAAATCACAGTGCTTATATGCCAGTTAGGGTCCTCGTTGTTTAGGTCCTCTGGGATTGTGATTTGTAGGCTGGCTTTTTTTTTTTTTTTTTTTTGCTTTATGTTTAAAAGCCACTTATGAGTGAGTACATGTGATAACTGTCTTTCTGGGTCTGGGTTACCTCACTCAATATGATGTTTTCTAGCTCCATCCATTTGCCTGCAAATTTCAAGATGTCGCTATTTTTTCTGCTGTGTAGTACTTCCATGCTTTTTTGCCATTATTTGTTTTCTTTTTTATTGATTTTATTGAGCTCTACATTTTGCTCTGCTCCACTCCCTTCATCTCCCCTCCCATTCAGCCCTCTCCCGTGGTTTCCATGCTCCCAATTTATTCAGGAGATCTTGTCTTTTTCTACTTCCCATGTAGATTAGATTCATGTATGTCTCTCTTAGGGTCCTCATTGTTATCTAGGTTCTCTGGGACCATGAATTGTAGGCTGGTTCTCTTTGCTTTATGTCTAAAAGCCACTTATGAGTGAGTACATATGATATTTGTCTTTCTGACTCAAGGGGCATTTAGGTTGTTTCCAGGTTCTGGCTGGACAGCAGCATGACAACAATGCTACTCTGAACATAGTTGAGCACATGTCCTTGTGGCACGATTGAGCATCCTTTGGGTATATACCCAAAAGTGGTATTGCTGGGTCTTGAGGAAGGTTGTTTCCTAATTTTCTGAGGAATCACCATACTGATATCCAAAGGGGCTGTACCAGTTTGCACCCCCACCAGCAATGCAGAAGTGTTCCCTTTACCCCACAACCTCTCGAGCATAATTCGTCATCAGTGTTTTTGATTTGGCCATTCTTACAGGGGTAAGATGGAATCTCAGAGTTTATTTGATTTGCCTTTCTCTGATGGCTAAGGATGTTGAACATTTCCTTAAATGTCGTTTAGCCATTTTAGATTCCTTTGTTGGGAGTTCTCTGTTTAGGTCTGTACTCCATTGTTTTTTATTGGATTAGTTGTTTTTTTGATGACCAATTTCTTGAGTTCTTTATATGTTTTGGAGATCAGTCCTCTGTCCGATGTGGGGTTGGTGAAGATATTTTCCCAATCCGTAGGCTGCCATTCTGTCTTGTTGACTATGTCCTTTGCTTTACAGAAGCTTTTCAGTTTCAGAAGGTCCCATTTATTAATTGTTTCTCTCGATGTCTGTGCTGCTGGGGCTATATTTAGGAAGTGGTTCTCTGTGCAAATGCATTCAAGTGTACTTCCCACTTTCTCTTCTATGAGGTTCACTGTGGCTGGCTTTATGTTGAGGTCTTTTATCCATTTAGACTTGAGTTTTGTGCATAGTGATAGATTTGGATATATTTTCATTCTTTTACATGTTGATATCCAGTTATGCCAGCCCCATTTGTTAAATATGCTTTCCTTTTTCCATTTTATGTTTTTTGCTTCTTTGTCAAAAATCAGGTGTTTGTAGGTGTGTGGATTGATATCTGGGTCTTTGATTCGGTTCCATTGGTCCTCCTGTCTGTTATTACGCCAATACCAGGCTGTTTTCAGTACTGTAACTCTGTAGTAGAGTTTGAAGTCAGGGATTGTGATGCCTCCAGAAGTTCCTTTTTTGCACAAGATTGTTTTAACTATTCTGGGTTTTTTGCTCTTCCATATGAAGTTAAGTATTGTTCTTTCGAGTTCTATGAAAAAATTTGCTGGGGTTTTGCTGGGCATTGCACTGAATCTATAGATTGCTTTTGGTAAGATTGCCATTTTTACTATGTTAATTCTACCTACCCAAGAGCATGGGAGCTCTTTCCATTTTCTGGTGTCTTCTTCAATTTCTTTCTTCAAAGATTTAAAGTTCTTGTCATATAGGTCTTCCACTTGTTTGGTTGAGTTACTCTGAGATATTTTATGCTATTTGATGTTACGTGCTTATAATCCTAGCTGGAGTGTTGGGGGCAGGGATATCCAGATCCCTGAACACTCTGCACTCTGGTCAGCCAGTGTGGGATACTTGGTAATCTCTGGGGCAGTGAGAGACCTTGTTTCAAAGCAATTAATCAATCAGTTATTTAGTTACTTCTTTGGGACCTGAAAAATAGTCTCCTAGCTCCCACATGGGTGCATGCGCTCATGCATATGCACAAATATGAACACACACACACACACACACACACACTGAAAAGGAAAGAGAGAAAACACATGAACCAATCACAGAAGACCAAACAGTGTGTGAAGTGTCATAGGCATCCTCACAGGGGAGGAAATTCCTCTGGGGACTGCCATTGGCTGGGGAAGGGAAAGTGAAGAGCTGCTTGCTCAGCAAGTGTAACATCATAAATGTAGAATGAAAAAGCTCTGTAAGTCTGCTATTAATGTTGTTAACACTAGATAGCTCACAGATACATGTAAAGATTTCCTTTAAAAACACATCTCATGTTATGTGTTCTTACCATAATTTTAGGGGAAAATCAATGACTCCATGGGGACAAGTATGAGGACCTGAGTTCAGATTCCCAAAACCCATGTAAAGCCACTGCAGTCCCAGTGCCCCTACCACAAGACAGGAGGCCAAGTTAGGCGAGGCCTGGAGGTGCGAGTGGCGGGTAGCCTGGTGTGTGCAGTGGCAAACAGCAAACAGGTCCTGTCTCAGGCAAGATGAAAGTGGATCCAGTTAGCCATTCTGTCTGGACCCTAAGCTCTACGCTTTGCCCCTTGTGTTTTAAAGGTGGAAGTGTCCAAGTTTGATGCTTTGGAAGAAGTGAGTGCTGAGCTGAAGCTCAAGCAGCTGCTCTGGGACTCCCTGTCCGAGTGGGATAAACTCCAACAGGAATGGCTGAAGGTAGGGAAAACAGATCTCGGTGGTTGTGTTGTGTGTTAACCCCACCTAAATATTAATAATACGAACTGTATTTCAGTAATCTAGAGTCTTCTTGTTAGCAGTGAAATTTGTCCTTCAACACACAGAAAGCTGAATTCACATATCTCCCACGGGGAAAGTAGTTATGGTGGAATGGAAACTAGGAACTAAGAAAAAAGAGCTTTATATCCTTGTTCATATTTCATGGGTCCGTTTTTGCATTCCAAAGGAATTCAACATGTGTGGTTCCTTTGAGGCAGTGGCTGTGAAATCTGGGCTTTCTCTTTAGTTCCATTGGCTGTTGTCAGTAGGCACGAGGCATGAGTAGTCACTGAGAGCATTTGTCCCATTTACCCTCTTAGAAAAAGTGGGGGAGAGGTTTCGTAACCTGAGAGTTTTCATTTTTTCTTCTGTCTAAAACTGGCTCGTCATTCCATTACAGTGCTGCTTAAATGTTTAAATTACATTGCTACATATAAAATAAACGACGGTTTATGGAAACATAACCAGGCATCTGGTTAAATAAGAGAGGCCTTTTTCTCACTAAATGCCACAAAGCAACAACTTTCCTTATAGGGCAGGTTTCTTGGCTCCTCTGTTTAAGAGGGCCGCATGATGGAAGCATCCAAGGACCATGCAACATGATGTCTGACTGCGGTGTGACTTCAGGAAACGCCCCAGTGTTCTCAAGGACTATAGGGTTTCGTTTGTGATTTACCCCCTCAGGTATCTGTTAGCTTAGGCTTCTGTTCTTGTCCTTGATGGAAGGAAGCCATCTTGTTCACACCAGTTGACTAGAATCAGAGGACTCATCTCAATAGTGACCTCTCATGTCTATGGAATCTCGTGTGACAGCCACCATAGCGTCACTTCAAGGATCTGTTCTTATTCAAAACTTGACAAGGAAGCAGAAGATGTGACCACTTTCGAGTGTGATCAGCTTTGAAGTATCACTCTTTCAAGTATGCTACAAACATGTGGAAAATGCCACCTGCTTCACAAGCCCTCTTTATCCTCCTCCACCCTGCCCGTCATACTGCCTGTGATACTGCCCGTCACCAGAGGCCGCATGTCTGACTGAAAAACCAAGTGACATAGGAAGGGTTTTGTCTAGGTAATCTTCCAAGTGTTTGGAGAGCCAGAGATGTTCTTAAGAGGAAGGTTTGTCGCTGGCAGACCCCATCTTCTGGTAGAAGAGACAAACAGCAAACGGAAAAAAGGCAGAACGTGTATGATATGATGGGGGGAATTTGACATATTCTCCTAGAACTCATTTGTCAATGACTTGGAGACATTTCTTACCACCACCATAGCTAGAGCAGAAGAATGTGCCCCTCCTTTGAAATCTGCCACAAGACCAACTAGGGGGCAGGAGGGAAATGTGGAATCGAGGGGAAATAAGAATCCATACAGGGTTACAAATTTTCTGTTGCCCTTCGTCCACATGATTGATGGGTCAATAAATATGTAGACTTATACATCTGTATAACTAAGAAATACAAGTATAGATATATGCGTATTTTAAAAATACATCTTTACATGAGTGTATTTTATGCATTATTAGAAATTCTTTATTAAAAATTGACAACAGTTAGCTGGTTTTCTCCTTAAAAACCTCTGTAAGCACCGGCCCTCAGGCTGACAGTACTGCGCTTGGTGGTGAGGGAGACAAGGCTGTGAGAAGAATCGGCAGTAGGCGTTATAAGCAGCTCTTTCCAGGCCTCCCGGTTTGATTTGGTTTAAAACTTTAAGTGCCAGGGAAATTCAAGTGAAGTAAAACTTGTATACTGCTATCAGCTTGACATTTATCCTGTGTTTTTACCTCTTTTTTTCCCCCATAGTCCAAATTTGACTGATTGGATCCAGAAGCCCTAAACAGTCAAGTTACTAAATACGCTAAATTTGTGACACAATTGGAAAAGGGTTTGCCGCCCAACAACGTGGTGCCCCAGCTCAAATATAAGGTGGAAAGGATGAAAGAAAAGGTAAGTCAGGCGGATATTATCTCAGAACCAGACGCAGATGCCCTGGTGTTGTTTCAGGAAAAAAAAAATCACAGTCCAACCTGTGTGTCTCAACAACTGGCCAAATGGTGCAGTGGAGTGTGGTGAGGAGGAGACACCTGGTGTCTGTCAAGCGGAAGACAGACTAAGGCCAAGATGTTGATACCCTCAGCACGCGGGCAGCAAGCAGATTTTCCTGGTACAAACTGCCACTGACCCTATTGTGTCCCACAGCTAGTCACTGTCCAGATGTGTTTAGTGTGAAAAAGTCCAGAAACCAGCCAGTGCATGAATAGGGCTGGTTTGAAACTGCACTGCGGCCAAGCCAGTCCTTGAAGGGGACAAATGGGTAGGGGGAGACTGCTCAGTGGGTAAACGCCACAGCCAGCCGCAAACTTGACCGTCCCATACCGACCTTGCCTACTATCTCCCTTTCTATTGAGACCTCTCATAAACTCGTAGTAGTTCATTTAAATGCTCAGCTTCCAAGATGTGCCATTTCTGCGTTTGATTCTGACCACTGTTGATGTTCAGGTGGGTTTTGTTGTGGTCATTTTGCTTTGCTGAGTGCCTTGCCATTTCCGTTGTTCCGTTGCTGTGGGAACGCATCTGCAGCAGTGGCTCATTACTGGGGTGCAGGCTTGCAGTCTTGAAGATGAGCGTTCTTTTCCCTCTGTTTACCTTGTTTGCCTCACAGCGCCTAGGACTTTTTATTCTCTAGCGCTACCTACTATTCCTCGTATGAGGGGGGCCCAGGGGCTATATTTTCCGTTCATTTCTCCAAGACCTGCTTCTTTTCTGTTGTGCCCAGCTGATAATCAGTTTCCTGTAGCTGTCCATTCCATATGGCATTATTCTCACCTGCCAAGTGGTAGCCTGGTGGGAGAGGCGAAGGGGCGCACACCTCCTTCATGCTTAGCGCCACTCAGCGAGGCCCTCCATTCTTGCTCTCTTCTGGTCTTCAGAGAAACACGTGACTACCATTTCCCTGAAATTTTCAGTTAGTTAGCTGCCCTGAAACTCAGTGTTCTCGGCCTTAATACAGTTCCTTCGTTTGCATTGTTGTTCTGAGTTTTCTTCACTGTAGATCCAAGTGGTGCTGTTTCAAGTCTCTGTGTTTATAAACTGAAGCCACGTACAAAGTGTTTTGATTAATTCCACCCATCATCCCTACCCTCCAACTTCCCCCCGATCACCCCACATTGCTCCCCCATCACCTCATGCACTCTTTTTCACACACTTGAGTCTGATAAACGCCCCCGGTATGTTCATGGGTCTAGGACCACCCGATGCAGCATCAGCAACCTACTCAGGGCCGCATCCCTGAAGAAAACCTATGAGGCCTGCTCCCAGGTTCCAGAAGCTACCCGTAGTTCCTCACTGAGCTAGTGATGGGCTTTGTGAGCCCCTCCTCCAGCTGTGCCGGGGTGTGGCAGGCTTGCCCTTAGGCAGGCCCTGCACACGTTCAGTGTTTGTCTTCCAGCTTCCTGTGATCATTGACTTGAGGAACCCAACTCTGAAGGCGCGACACTGGGCAGTTATTGAACAAACTGTCGATGCCCAGCTAGTGGATGTTGAAATTCCGCTGACCCTGGAGAGGCTGTCCGAACTACGTGTCTTTGAATTTGGTCAGGAAATCCAGGACATATCTGGACAGGCTTCTGGGGAAGCTGCCTTAGAGACAATTCTTAAGAAGGTAAATCAGGAAAGAACCAAGTGTGGTAGCATGTCCCTTTCATTTCAGCACCAGGGAAATGGAGAAAGATGGATAAATCCCTAGGGCTTGGGCCAGTCAGCCTAGCCTACTTAGAAAGTTCCAGCCCAATAAAGACCTTGACAATTAATCAGCAACCAAAGACCTGAGGAATGACACTGACCTTTGACCTCCACATAACATGCTCGTGAGCACCTGTGCCAATATGCATATACCCACACATGTAAACACACATATGTAGTAAACAGACACAAACCATAGATAGCATGTAAAGGTTTTCAGATACGACATAAAGATTGCTAATATCTGTGTTATCTGGATGGAGTTTCAACATCCCAAGCAGCATCCTCTGCTGTCTCCTTGCATGTACCACTTGGTACCACATATTCAGTCTATAGTCCAACCAGAACTTGACAGCAGCAAGGTTGGCTATGTGCTGACTTTTATAAAGAACTGCATGCCGGAGATTTTTTTTGCAGAAAAAATAATATGTGTTATTTTCTAAATTCCCAGGGAAGGCTGGGCTGGGCCAAACTACCTTAAAACACATCAAGAAGATTTTTCTACTTATAGCACTGTCTCCTTAGCCTAACAATATGTGCCTACCTACCAAGTGTCTAAATAAAAGAACATTTCTTTCCCCCGACGGAGTAAGATGCACATTGTCTCCAGCCTTCATCTGTATTAATAGCAGTCAAACGAAACCAAGAAAATCAGTGTGGCTTCCAACTGTAGGGTCTTGAGAATTTCAAGGGCCAAAAGGAGGAAAATGGGCAGCAACCATTTCCCTTGTTTCACTCGATGAGCCTTTATTGTGTCTAGACACAAATGAGTTTAGATTTCCTAATGCCTGAACTCTTTCTAAGGTGGAAGATTCTTGGAAAACAACTGAATTTGTCATTCTTCCTCACCGTGACTCTAAGGACGTATTTATCCTGGGTGGCACAGATGACATACAGGTATGTAACTGGGTTGCGGGAAACTTGTGGTAAATTAGGCATGGTGGCACATGCCCGTGATGCCAATATTTTGGAAATAACGGCAGGAGGACCGCTATCAGCTCAAGGCCAGCCTGTGCTACATAGCAAATTCTAGGCTAGCCAGGGATAGATAGTGAGAGTCTGCCTCAAACTAAAGAAGGAAAGAAGGCAGAGAGGGTGAGGGAGGGAGGTGGAAAACGGAGGCGGGGAGGAAGAGAGGAGATGATTTTATGGTCAAAGTCCTGACCATACCTCCTGAAGCTTCTGAGAAAGAGTAAGTGGGAGAGAAGCTTATTTGAAAGGCAAGACGTGAAAAAGTGACACAAATGTTTATTCACAAGTGCTTATCAAAGTAATAAAATGGCATATGTGCTTGTGTGTGCATGTACACGCATGTGTGCTCATACACACACACACACACACACACACACACACACAGGCCTCTTCGTTAATGCCCTCCAATGACCATTGAGAGAACAGAGAGTTGTGAGCATGGCAAAAAGGCCAAGCTTGCCAGCGGCTGGGTAGGAAGCAGTAGGTGGGGCTACATTATCTTTTCAAACACACTGGCCCTTAACTGGGCTCTCGGAATCTGGACTAGCCTGAGCTCAAGGACGCATGGCTCTGCGTGTGTCTTGGCCCCTTCTCTCTGAAGGTCCTTCTTGATGACAGCACCATCAACATCGCAACCATCGCCTCATCGCGGTACGTGGGCCCCCTGAAGTCTCGCGTGGATGACTGGCAGAAGCAACTTGCCTTATTTAATCAAACACTGGTGAGTGAGGGCCGTTTCAGCTCCTAGACTCTGAAGTGGAAGGCTGCAAGACGCTGTGGGGCCAGGGAGACCTCAGTGGGATCAGGCCTGCCCAGCATGTACAAAGTCCTGGGTTTGCTCATCACATGCATGCACGCACACACACAGAGAGAATTATTTTAATATTATATAATTTAGAAATGTAAGGTTTAATTGTTGGCATTTTGTAATGTTCCAAATGAAAACACACTCATTTGGCTTGTTTATATAATTATGCAAGGGAATAATTTCCAGCATAAGTAGAGGACACCAGTTTGAAAGCCACACTCTGATAGTCCCATGTTTTTTTCCAGGAAGAGTGGCTGAACTGTCAGAGAAACTGGCTCTACCTAGAAAGCATCTTTAATGCCCCGGATATTCAGAGGCAGCTGCCTGCGGAAGCCAAGATGTTCCTTCAGGTGGATAAGTCATGGAAGGAAATCATGAGGAAGGTGAACCGGCTGCCTAATGCGCTCCGAGCTGCTACTCAGCCAGGTAGGAGCTTCAAGCTGTTTGTCACGACTAAAACTCTCAGTTTTAGACTCTCGGGGTACATCCAGGGCTTGACTGACCTGAGCACTCTGCTCTCTAAGTGCTGCCATACAGTTGAGTTTGTGACTTTAGAACAGAAGTTGAACTCTGTCCATACTCTTCCCTCGCAGATAGAATCACAAAAACTTCCATAGCTTTAACTCAGAAATTAGAATGAATTAGAGATTTTGCCACTTACTGCAATTCAAGTAACAAGGTTGAGATTATTTTTAAAAGCTTTTCCTAGCCTATACTAATTATCCATGCTAATGAGTTGCAGTATGGCATTTTCAGGCACGTGTATCATGTATTTTGATAATATCCAGCCCCATCACCTTCTGCTGACCTCCTCCCACTCCTGCTGACTCTCCTCATATTCCCAGCTAGTCACCTTTCCACTTGCACATCTTTCTCTGGGTGTGAACCAATGAGCTTAGTTCCGCTTACAGGATCATGGGCACCTTGCCCGTGGCTACACCACCAAGGATGATGTCTCATCCTGCCCACCTCCTGCCCAGCATCAAGGTTGAAATGTTTTAACAAGTTCGGTTTCTGTGCACAGGCAACCAGCTTCTGGGATGCACGAATACTCGCTGAAGTTTACACTCTATATCAAACCCCAGCCAGCCTGCTTGTCCTATGGCCAATGGCAGCATCTGGCCACGATGGAGAATAACGCTGCCTAGCAAAGGCAATGCTGGGGCTATGGCCATTGCCCGAAGAGTCTTACATAAGACAGAGAAAAGAAAAACTATGGAATGATAAAAATCAAACACCCATAAATGTCTTAGGGAGGCTGCTCCCAGCTCCCAGCTGTCTCCCACTGGCCATAACCCCTCATCAGCCTCTGCCACTTTGCTGCATTTTTCTCTCATTTTCTCTCTCGTAAATGTTCCTACAATGTCATCAGAGCCACCAGGTGATCTAGAATAACAGCCCCATGTATCTCCAAAGTTCCCATTTCTACAGAAACCAAACAGATCCATAGCTGTAGGGGATTCGAACATCAACATCTCTGGAGGCAAGGCCATTACCCTTCCACAGACCCTCCGTTGTCATATTCAAACCTTTAGGGCACAAATGCAGTAATATTTGGATACAGAGAGATGCTCCAGTCCCTAAAGACTTGTTATAAAATAAATATCTAAAATTATTTGTTATTTGGAAATAAATATACATTTCATACATGAATATATTTCGATCATATCATCTCCCATTTTCCCCCAAGTCCTCCCAAACCCATCAAGCCACCTAACTTCATCCTCCCCTTTATCTATCTCTTCTTTCTCTTTCTTCCGGTTCTTGTCCCAGCCCCTCTGCCTCCTGCTCTGCCTTCTATAACCTACCAGGTTCATGCTGTACTGCCCACATGTGAATGGGTACAGGACATCTATAAATGATAAATGAAAAATAGGTCTCTTGAAATAAAAAAGAAGACTCCAAAAAACATCTGGCCCTTAAGATTTCAAATAAAGAAGTGTAGACCTGTAATAAACCTAACTCCAGATGACGATAAGGCCATGAAGAAAAATAAAGTAGGATAAGGGAGTGGATGGGGGGCTAGTGAGTGTGTGTGTATGCACACACACATGCATGTTGTGTGTATGCATATATATCTGTATGCATGTGTGTTCATATGTATTTTTGCAAGTGTGCAGGTGTATGCACATGTGTTTATGTGTGTGCATGTGTTCATGTGTGTATGTGACATGTATGTGCACATTTGTGTATGTGTGCGCATGTATATGCATGCACACATGTGTGTATGCATGCATGTGTTTATGTGTGAAGGATGATTAATGAAAACTCAGAAAGAGAAATTGGGGTTCAACCTGAAGGTCAGAAAAGAAAAACAACTGGCCACTGGTTCTTACCTTGACTCAGTCCGAAAATGGTCATCCTGCCTCCAGGAAACCTCAACATGAGAATGTGTCTGTGGGCTGTCTCTTCCAATCTTATACTCCTCTCTAGGGATGGGATTAAAGGCATATACCACCTGGTTTCTATGGCAACTAGTATGACTACTGGGGTTAAAGGTGTGTGTTATCACTGCCTGGTCTGTAAGGCTGACCAGTGGAGCTGTTTTACTCTCTGATCTTCAGGCAAGTTTTATTTATTAGAATACAGATGAAATTCCACTACATATGTGTATGTGCATGTATGTGTGCATGTGTGTGCGTGTGAATGTATGTATATGTGTATATATGTGTGAATGTGTGTATGTGTGTGTTTGCATGTGTATGTGTATATGCATATGTATGTATGTATGTGTATATGCATGTATATGCATGTATGTGTATATATGCATGTGTATGTGTTATTGAACTTTTCAATAAAGTGGCTTTTGAGCAGAAACTTGCAGGAAAGAGTGAGTGAAAGTATACATGACTCTGAAGAACTGTTGAAGGCAGAGAAAAGAACAAAGAACAAAGTCAGGCTCCTAAGGCAAGAGCATACTTAGTTGTCATTATAGAGTCCCTGTGGCCTGGAGTAGAGTGCTTGGGGATTGGGTCTTGTTTAGGATTTGAGGCCCTAGGGAACCAGTGTGCTTAGGTGGATGACTGGCCACTAGGTGGAGCTGTTGACCACACACGGTCTCAGAGTCCATGCTAAAGATTTGGGATTTGATTCTTAAGCAGGTAGGGAAGCAAGAACTGGGATCAGCATCAAAAGAAAGATGAAGAGGCCTGAAGGCTGCTGTCCGAAGAGCTGCTTCCTAATAATGAAGAATAATGCCCACTGCCATTAGCATTAACCATGAGAGAAAGCGTGCAAGGAAGAAACTGACAAAGGATAGGAAGGTTCTAAACCCTGGTGCTGTTTGCCTTTTAGTGGTGTACCCACAGCGCCCCAAAGCAGAGGATGCCAGCCAGAATTATTGCAAATTAAAAATACTGTTAAATGAATTAAATATTAAAATACTATAGTTAATTAGGAGTAATAATTCTTGGGCTGGGGAGAAGGTTTAGTAGTTAGAGCAATGGCCGCACAAGTAAAAGCCTGGAGTTCAGAACCCCAGACCCCCCACAGAGGCCAGGGGCCGGATGAAGAATACACATGCATACACACATATATACACATTTTTTCCAGCCTTGGAAAGAATGACAGAACCTGAAGGCAGAGATGGGGACAGCCAGAGGGAACTCAGCAGGACTAGCTGAGAGACTCTGGGTTTGGCTGAGAGACCTGCTTCGAAAGGAAGGATGAGCCATCCAGGAAGGTTCCTGCTATCAGCTCCAGGCTTTGAATACCCACACATGTGCATGAGCACCATCACACACATACATGTGTTCCCACAAACTCTCAAACGTGTATACAGGCACTCATACATGCACAGCACACACACATCATATACATGAAAAGGGAAAAATGTTAAAGAATGAAGCTTCTTAGCCAAAACTTTCATTTTATTATTCATTATTTATTCTACCAAATAAAACAAAGGCTTTAAAAGGTTAGTATCTTTTACTTTCATTTAAAATTGTATTCTCTATTTTAATACAATTTGGCCAACATTTGTTTTTCAACTAATAGGGCTTCTGGAGACTTTTCAAAACAATAATGCATTACTTGACCAAATTCAGAAGTGTCTGGAGGCATATTTAGAGTCGAAGAGAGTTATCTTTCCAAGGTAAGTTAAAAACCAACCTAAGACATTTCGTGATAGACTATAGGTCAATTGGAGATGACAATCACATCCTCCAGACCACAGAGAACTGGGGAGGAAACAAGATGCCTTGCTGTCTGCAGACTTGCTGCAGACCTGTTGGGCAAATACTAAGCTCTCAGAGATGCTCAGGCTGGGGAAGAGTGAAGCTCACTCTCTGCTTGAGGATACAGGGAACCCACAGGGCATGGCTCCCTCCATCTCCCCATCCTCAGCTCCGCTGCCTTTCCAGCTTTAACTCTTCTACTCCCTGCATTTAGTGGGGGCTCTAGAGTCATCACCCCTATCGCCGTGGGTTTCTGAGAGACCCCACAACTCACGTTGCAGTGTTGGCATGATTTGGTAGTCTAGAGCTTCAGACAAAACAGAGACTAAAATGATTGCATTTTTAGTGCACGCTTGCATTAGTTGAGCCTACGTTTGGTCAGGAACAGACAAGCTCATTTTTTTTTACCCGTTTTGCATAAAATGATATGAAAACAAGATGCTTCATTTCTACTTAAGAATGGCCATAGTAGTATTGGAAATGGTATGTCAGCAAAATAATATTCTGTCACGTTTAATAGCAGCATAGAACTAGCTCTTGTAGACCAGGCTGGCCTCGAACTCACAGAGATCCGCCTGCCTCTGCCTCCCGAGCGCTGGGATTAAAGGCGTGCACCACCATCGCCAGGCATGCTGCCTTTTGATTGGTCCAGTGTCACAGGACCAAGTGAGGGCTCCACAACCACCCATCTGTCTATTAGTTCTTCAATAGTTAATGTGCTGTGAGACATATATTCACTACAGAAGCTCAAAGACAAGTAACAGGCAAACAGATCAATATCATAGCAGGACCTAATGTCATTAATAATTTTTAGAAAAATCTTATTCAGTCTAGCTACTGGGCCTAGATGTTGGAGACACGTCATCATTTACCTTTACAAGAACTTCCTTAGGGACACGTGGCTACCCCCAAACCCAGAGCGTGGTTAGAGACTCAGGGCATCAGTGCCCGGGGCAGGTGTGCGGGATCTCACCTTTTATGTCTACCCAAGGCTGACGTCAGCGTCAAGTCACGATTTGCACCGGGTGTCTCTTTAACTCGACAGGTTTTACTTCCTGTCAAATGACGAGCTCCTGGAGATTTTGGCCCAGACACGAAATCCACAAGCCGTGCAGCCTCACCTAAGGAAATGCTTCGACTCCATTTCAAAGCTCGAGTTTGCGCTCATGCCTCCGACAGAAGGGAAAATTCCCGGCATGGATACTGAGCCAGAAAGGGTCTTCACCAATGATATTTTGGCAATGCTGTCGCCTGAGGGAGAGAGGGTAAGGGGCTTTGGCTTAATAGTTCTTCATGGATAACCTTGGTCACGTGTCTGGGACTGGGGTTGAGGCTGCTCATTCTCATCCTAGGCTTGCCAGGGACTCTGCTAGCCTAGCACTTTTGAAAATAGATAAAACTGAGATAAAACTCTGACCCTCAAAGATCTGGATATCTAATGGAGAAATCATCGAGCAGCTAGAAGTAGCCACGATAATCACAATGGCAGGCTTGGAGAATGAAGTGGAGAGATGCCATCACATTTTAGTCAGCTCTGCAAAGAGGAACAGTGTCTGGCCCAGAGTGCCAGGACTTTGCCGGGCCACCTGGATGAAGACCCACCACCCTCTAATCGCTTCCACAGGATAGCATGAGTAATAGCACCCTCCTCGCCGGGTGACAGGGACTTCCAGCAGTCACTTTACGTAAATGACTTCATGTGGCACCCCCTGAGCTCTGTGAGAGTTTGTTACTGCAGCTCCTCCGGTGCTGTGTAGTGTAGTCCTTTCATATGGAGAGAGTGAAGGTATCAGCAGACTGAAGAACTGGCTGACAGGACAGGATACACACATGCGTGCACACACACATATATAGACGCACACATGTGTGCATGTATCATTGCTGGTGCAGAAGGAAAGAAATGAGAGGGTTAAGGACAGAACATTGAAAAAAACATGAAATTTCAAAGGAAGGTGAAAAAAATGGTTAAAGGAATCTCAAACAAGCAGATGCCCAAGTGACTGAAGTCAGAGGAAGAAGCAGAAGAAGTGCTGGAAAGATGTAGATCAGACCTTTCAGATGTGGAGACAGGTGACTGTGGGGAACAGGCTTACAGGAGTGTTTGGGGGTAAACTTCAGGTCACAGAGCTATGAAAAGGGAAATGGTTGAAGAAGTCCCAGAGCCTGTGGGAAGTCCTCTTTCTAGAAGCTTGCCTCAAAAGCATGCTTGTGCTAGAAGGCAGCAAAGTTGGGGGCAGGGGGGAGGAGAGGGATGTGACCCAATGCCAAAGGCCTCTGAGTTTGCAGAGCTCAGGGTTCTGTTACAGACATACAACATGTAGACAGCCCACAGGTCCCACCCAAGACACTTTCTTACCGTCCTAATTGCCTCATAGGTCGGCCTGGGGAAGGGCCTCAAAGCGAGAGGCAATGTGGAAGAATGGCTCGGCAAGGTGGAGGAAGCCATGTTCACGTCCCTCCGCCGCCTGTGCAAGGCTGCCATCGCTGACTACCAGGGGAAGCCCAGGACAGAGTGGGTGACTGCTGGCCACCCTTCCCAAGTAACACTCTTGTTAAGTTTCTCTTTCTGGGGCCCACGTTGGCGCCATGGAGCACGAGCCTAAGGGGACGTTTTGTCGCAGGTGATCCTGACCATCTCTCAGATCATGTGGTGCCGGGATCTGACCGAGGGTCTAGAATGCGAAGGGAGCCACCTAGAGGCCCTGGAAGAGTTTGAAAAGGTCAATTTTGAGGTAAGTTCTTTATCAGAGAGGCATTGTACAGCTGCCATACGAGATGGCAAGATGAGCGGAAACATAGGGTTCTTTATGATGACCCGCAAATGTTTAGACATGATTGTGTTTAAGAGGATCGGTGTGGGGCTTTGAATGAGATATCCCCCATAGTTTCAGAATTTGAGTATGTGGACCCAATGATGGCACTATTTGGGGAGGCTTAAAGGTGTGGCCTTGTTGGAGGAAGTATGTCACTAGGGTTGGGCTTTGAGGTTTCAAAACCTCATGCTATTCCAAGTGTGATCTCTCTTTCATGCCTTTGGATTGAAGGTAGGAGCCCTCATCTTCCTGCTTTAGCCATTATACCTCCGCTCTGCCATCATGGACTCTTATCCCTCTGGAACTGTAAGCCCAAACCATCCCTTCCTTCTGTAAAATTGCCTTGGTTATGATGTTTTTATCACAGCAATAAAAAGGCAACTATTAGGAAGCCTCTCACAAAACTTTATATTTTTATTAAAAATTCTTAAGTGAAGCCAGTATTGTCATGCATGCCTGAAACCACAGTGTTGTGGGGTAGAGACAAGCAGATCCTGGGAACTTAGTGGTAAGCTAGCCAGCCTCACTTAAACAGCAAATGTCAGTTTCAGTGAGGTATGTTCTTAAGGCAGTAAGACAATGCAATAGTGGAAAGCCCCGTCTGTCCTTCTCTGCATGCATGCGAGACTTCACACACACACACACACACACACACACACACACACACACACGCGCGCATGCGCACACACACACACACACACACACACACAGTGAAAACAGCATTGTAAATGCACACTGCAGTATTTGTAGCAACAGGCACGGTGCTGTGCAGCAGATCTCTAGGACCGATTCATCTTACCTAACGCTGCAGCTTCATGTCTACTGAACAGCAAAACCTCCCTCCCCAGCCCTGGCCACCACCACTCTTCTCTACTTTTATCAGTGTGATAAACACCTCACACCTGTGGCTGGATTATTATTTTAAACTTAATGTCCACTCACTATCCACCCAATTAATTGACATTGTCACCTGTGACAGGATTCCCTTCCTTTTCTGGCTGAATGCTAGTCCATTGGGTGCACAGGACACATTTTCTTTATCCAAAGAAATCTGGTGGGTTTTTAGGTTGTTTCTTCGTGCTGACAGCGGTAAATAATGCTCCTTAAGACTCTGATTTCAGGTCTTTGATTTATATGATCAGAAGTGGGGTTACTCAATCAAATGGCAATTCTAATCGCAGGGATTTTTTTTTTGAGAAACCTCTGCACAATGTCCCATCTGCATGTCCTAACATCATATTCCTACCAGCAGCATCCAGAGATCCCTATCTCTAGCTCCGTGTCCTTGCCAGTACTTGTTATCTTTTTTTTTTTTTTTTGACAATGGGCTTGAGATTACATCACATTGTGGTTTTGCAATATTTATTCTTTTGACAAGTTCATACATGTACATAGTGGGATTTACTTTTTCTCACTGCTACCCTCCCTTGCGGGTCTCCTATGCTTTTTATTTCCATCATCCTCTTTAGAGGTCCCTTCCTCACGTTTGTATCTTTTTGTTTTGTCCCGTGACACACTGATTTTTAATCAAGATCACCTATGTGGCCTCAGGTTTGGAACTGTTCATTGGAACCTGGTGGACTCGCCACTGGTTACACTGTGAAGGCAATGACTTTCCTCTCAGATTCCATCAGTAGCCAATAGTTGGGCAAGGAGGGGCAGACCCCCATGAGCCCCTCCTTGGTTCACGATTGGCTGTTGACAGGCCCAGGCTCGTGCAGGCAGGCCCAGCGCAGACAGCTGCGGCTGCTATGGGGTCATGTGATGGCCATGCCACGCTCTGAAGATGGCATGTCCCAGCCCTTCTCCCCATCTTCTGCTTCTTGCTTGCTTCTGCTCCCTCTTCTGTTACGTCCCGTGTGCCTAGGGAGGGTACTGTCAATGTCTTACTTAAGGCTGAACATTCAGCCCTCATTTACTCTCTGTGCTAGGTTTTTGGGTTTTGCTTTTGTCACCTTACACTGGAGCGCTGGAGTCACCTGAGAAGATGTGGTAGCAGTATTGTAGAAATCGCCTCTATAAGATTGACCTGTGAGCAGGTCTGTGGGGGATTTCTTGATTGCTGTGGGAGGAATCAGTCCAATGTAGGCAGTACCATCCTCGGGCAAGTGGTCCTAGTATACAAGAAAGCAAACTGAGAAAGCAACGGAGAGCAAGCCAGTAAGCAGCATTCCTCATGGCCTCTGCTTCAGTTCCTACCTTCAGCTCCTGCCTTGGCTTCCCAAGGTGGTAGACTGTAACTTGTAAGCAGAAACAAACCCTTTGCTCCCAAGCTGATTTTTTTGTCATGGTGTTCATCTCAACAATAAAAAGCAAACCAGGACACCTTTAGCATCTTGAACAGCCATGAATCTTAGTACTCACTGCTGACACAAAGAGAAACTTCTCAGGTAAAAAATGAGGAGAGCATGTGTTAGAAAATATTATAATTTCATTTTTCTTTCATTGAGGTTTTGATAATAACATGCCTGGTGACTACAGATATTCAGCATCATATGTGCATATATAGATACAGATATAGATCCTGGACAGTCGGTATCTCTGCTTTAGAAAAGTACTATTCAAGTCATTATCCTACCTTTAAATTTGAGCCATTTGGTATTTTCTTATTGTTGTCTTATGCCACGTATATTCAAAGTAGATTTGGGGAAGATTTAAACATATGACTGAAAGCCAAAAGGTGCCATGACATTTTCCTTCACACTGGTATTCTGGTTATGACAGCCAAAGCAAAACCAGACAATGGGACTGTACTCAGTTAAAAAGCCTTTCCCAGAAAATGAGACAACAGAGTGGAAACACGATCTAGACACCAAAGATACGATATCTGTCAGCTGTATTTCCAACATGGACCTAGGCCTGATCTTCAGCTCCAGACTTAACTGGTCTTCCAAGTGCCAGTGCGTTTTCTAAAGATTCACCCCTGAGACAGAGACAGAACAGGGAAAGGGAAGCAGAAACACCACAGGAGACTGTCAGTGGGATTCTCTCTCCAGAGTCCTAGAAGTGGATCCCCAGAGAAAGTCCCCCAGCCATCTGCAGACACGGCCCCTGACCTCGGCATAACAGAGGAAAACCCAACCCAGAAGTATAAGACCCTCAGAGGCGCCGTACGACTTAGATAAGGATGTGGTGGTCTGGGGTAAATAGGGAGCTAAAGGATTTGAATTTATTTAGTCACTGGTCTGGTTAAAGTGCTCTGCAATGCTCTTTTATTGTTATTAGTGGAAAACTACAAACGAGAAGCCTCATCAGAATGACCTGGACCTCCTTGTAGGCCAGGCTAGCCCCCCACAGAGATACACCAGCTTTTGCCTTTGAGTGCTAGGATTAAAGGCATGCGCATGCACCATATCTGGTGAATTTCCAGGTAGAGCAGTCTACTCCCCAGCCAGAGACTTAATCATGTATCAAGGGTTTTTAAGAAGCATATCCACCAAGGTCTGATTTTACTCTTTCAAGGCTCTGCCATAGCCATCCAGTTATTGGCCTTCTCTGATTATCAGTTTGCTTAACTGCAAAAATGGTGTGCAGATAGTCTGTACTTCATAGAAGTCTTATAAAAATTAAATAAGACATTGTATTACTTTGTCATAGAATTATAAAGTTTTCTAGTTAGGTTTTTTTTTTTAGAAAATATCTACTCTATATTTAATAATGGAAATACATATTGCAAGCTGATGTTGAGCATTTACTGCAATAATTCTTTAACTCGCAGAGATTGAACGCCCTGGCTGCACTAGTTCGAGGCTCTCTTCCTAGGCTGCACAGAAACATCATAACTGCATTGATTACCATTGATGTGCATGCGAGAGATATAGTTACTGAGCTGGTTCAAACCAAGGTAAATGTTTCATTAATGGAAAATGGCACGGCAATCTGCGGATTCCATGTGTGTGTCTGACACAGCCACCATTCCTATCACTGCTGTAGGTAGACTCAGCCGACTCCTTTGACTGGCAGCGACAACTGCGCTATTATTGGGATATAGACCTGGATAACTGTGTGGCTAGGATGGCACTCTCCCAGTACACCTACGGCTACGAGTATTTGGGAGCATGCCCAAGACTGGTCATCACTCCTCTCACGGTACGTTATTGATCATTATTGATCGCCTTTTCATACAAACAGCGTGGGAAGTACTCAACATTGCTGCATCTCTATAAGACAGAGAGTGGCCTTGTCTGATTTTTGTGCCTGTGTCTGTGGGCACAGTTAAAGTTTTTCAGGGCCAGGGAGATGCTTCCTTCTGGAAAGTGCTAGCCATGCAAGCATAGACTTAAGTTCAGATCCCTGGCACCTATATAAGAAGCTGGGCATGGGGGCATGTGCTGCAAGCACAGTGCTGTGGAGGCCGAAACAGGAAGATCCCTGCAGATCACTGTCCAGCCAGCCTAACCAAACCAGTGAGAGACCTGGAGTGGAGAGGGATTGAGGAATTTACCTAGTGCTGACCACTGATGCACACACGCACCTACATGACTATCCCACATACATGTGAGTGCACACACACACACACACACACACACTTCTATTAAATAAATCAATTAGACCTATGAATTTGTAAATAAAGTCACTTCTTTTCAATGATGACAATTGATTGATTTTTTCAGGATCGTTGCTATCTTTGCCTTATGGGGGCTTTGCAGCTGGATCTCGGAGGCGCACCTGCCGGGCCTGCTGGCACTGGGAAAACAGAGACCACCAAAGACCTAGCAAAAGCTCTAGCCATCCAGTGTGTGGTCTTCAACTGCTCTGATGGTTTGGACTACAAGGTGTGGTTGTCATTTTTAATCTGATACAAATATTGAATGCTTTCATCAGTTTTCATTGTTTGCAACATGAATTAAAACAAGGAGACAGATGATAGCGAACAGAGAAGAAAATGGTATTAAAATAGGATGAGCAGAGCACGTCAGCATGTGGTGGGCTGGGCCGTCTGGGTAAGAATCAATGCAGGGGAGACATGTCAAAAAGCGAATTTTTAAAAAGAAGATCTATACAGGGCAGGTAGGGGTGGCTAGAAAGATGGTTCAGCAGTTAAGAGTGCTTGGTGCACCTGCAGAAAACCTGAGTTCCGTTCCTAGCACCCACGTGAGGTGGTTCACAACCCTCCTTAACTCTAGCTTCAGGGTATCTGACACCCCCTTCTGGCTACCAGGACACTGAGTGTTCACACACACACACACACACACACACACACACACACACACAATAAAACAATCTCTTAAATCTAACCATAAGTAAGTAGAGTAAAAGTCATATAGGCTAGAATGCATTCAGGGACGACAGAAGAGTAAAATCTAACTTTTTAAAAGAAGATGGGCCATCGAGAGACACTGATACATAGTGAGAAGTTTGAAGGCTCACTACTGAAATGCTTGCCTAGTGAATTTGATTTTCCCACACCACCAAAGATAGAAGCAGCCTTCAAGGAACTGAAGTACATGGGAGGAGGGAGAATTAAAGGAAAAGTTTTCAGTACATTTGGTCCTGGGCTCCCTTTATATGTTAAAAATTATCAAGATAAACTGTAGCCAGTGGTATTTCACTTGCTAGAAATTAAAGATAATGTATTTTATATATCTATTTGACGTAAAATACCAATAATGATGTTAACATAAACATCCATTTTGTGGAAAAAAAAACTTTACAAGCAAAAAGCTTACAGGTTATTTATGTCTTTTTAAATCTTTGGTGATTGGGAAAATGAATGGCAGCTAGATTTTCATATTTTATTTTGTATTTAATCCCTTGAGGCTTATGGCTTTGGTTGAACTGTCTGAATAGACTCTAGTCTCTGATAGAACTGTATGCTGAAAAGAGGAATATTTTAATAATTTTCTCAGGTAGTTGACTGGGAAAGACAGATAGCGCTTTAGTACAATTGGGAAGCGCTTAGACATCACAGACACCCTGAAAGATACCTTGGTACTTGCAGAGATCCATGCTGGCTTCTTAGTTCTTCTGGTGGGTGTTAAGAAAATAAAAAAAATGTACATATTTATGTCTCTATTGTTAGAAACTTTGAAGACTATAAATTCACTAAGTAAGGCTTTTTGAGACACTGTCTTCCAGCCTCCTACCTTCCATTCTGTCACAGTTTGTGACATTTGCACATTATTCAATGCTTGTCTCTGTTTTGTCTGGAAATTGAATGTAAAATGTCAGTGCCTCACATAGTACTCATGCTAAGACGGCTCTTTGCAGAATCTGAGGGCATAATTAGACCCCAGACAAGCACTGCCACAGAGAAGTCGCCACCTACCCTTCAAAGGCGAGAGCTATGTCAAGCAATGAATAGTCTCTTTCTTTACCTCCTCTGGGACAGTGTTTTCAAAACCTTTGTATGTACAAACTGCCCAGTGATCTTCTATTAAAATAGATGAGATATTCGATTCTATTTGCTTTTCCAGTTGACCACAATTTCACAAACCATGAACATCAGAGTGAGTAATTTGTTACCCACAATGGAGTAAGACAAAGAAAACATACCATAATTGTTTATGAGAAGAGACATAAACACTCCATCTGAACCCCAACATGACTGAGCACCCCCCCTCTCCCAGCTAACCTAGTAACTGCTGCATCTTCAGCAAAGCTTCAGGCAGCTTTCCTTTCTCCTGCTACCTAGATTGGCAATATCATGAGACTCACTGCAGAATTGCCCCTGCTCTCTTGTTTGTGTGTCTCCTTCCTCAAAAGATAGTCAAGTCCTGACATCTGGCTACCTGGTTTAGGGATAGAATCTTTACTAATAGATAAGACAATGCTAAAACTGAATGAGCCTAATGTAGTAACCAATGCCCTTCTAAGAAGAAGGAAATGAGAGTACAGTCACCTAAATAGAAGAGGAAATTATGTGAAAAGACACACTAGAAGCAGAGGTTGGAGTGGCGCAGTGTGAGCCGGGAAATGGTAGATCGCCTGCCAGTACTAAAATCTGCAGGCTAAGCATGGTTTATCAACACCCAGATCTCTGATTTCTAGCTTCTAGAGTGTAACATCATATATGTTTGATCCTTGGAGCCAGACTATTGCAATTTGTTGATATACAGAGCAGGGGCTCGAGAGATGGCTCAGCAGTGCTTGCTGTTCTTGTAGAAGACCTGAGATGGATTCCCAGCACTCACATTGGCCAGCTCACAACCACCTGAAACTCTAGCTCCAGGGGTTGACAGTCCTCTTCTGGCCTTCGCAGGCACCTGCACATTCATGTGCACACACAGAGAGACACACATACATAAATAAAAATTTTAAATTGGGGTTTCAGAGATGGCTCAGTGGCTAAGAGTACTGACTGCTTTCCCGGAGGACACAGGTTCAGTTGCCAGCACTCATATAGTAGCTCACAAGCTTCTGTGACTCCACGTCTAGGAGAGCTAACTTCCTCTTCCAGCCTCTGTGGGTATTAGGCCCACAAGTGCCGCGTAGACATACATGCAGGCAAAACACCCATGCACATGAAATAAGATAACGATGTTTAAAAGTAAATACATCTTTAAATATTGTATGTGTATCTACTTAGGTACAGTACAAAACCCTTCTTCGTTGAGCCTTTCCTGAAATCTCCTGGGCCAAGCCGGACCACTACTTCACCCCCTTTCCTCGTGTTCTACAACCCATGATTTCCTCAGGGCTCACTTCACCAAGTGTGGTTTCTCCCTTGTTGGGACAAGTGATAAATGCAACTGTGTTTGCTTATTGATGGATTCCTTGTCTACCTTTGGCTCCTGGGCTTTGCCTTCTCCTTCACTTATACTGAAAGGTGCTGGAGAAATGGATCAGTACTTACAACTGTGTACTGCTATTGCAGAGTACCTGAGTTCAGTTCTAAGAACCCGTGTTGCACAGCTCACAACCACTTGTAAATCTAGCTCTGTGGGGATCCTATGCCCTCTTCTGGCCTCTATAGGTACCTGCACACATGTGCACATACGTCCACACACACACACACACCTAAGAATCTGCCTGACTTGCAAAATATTTGTTGATCACGAGAAGCATCCTTTTTATTTTTTAAGTGTTTCAAGACAGGGTTTTTCTGTGTAGCCCTGGCTCTTCTGGAGCTGACTTTGTAGATCAGGCTGGCCTCAAACTCACAGATATCTGCCTGCCTCTGCCCCCCAAGTACTGAGACTAAAGGTGTGTGCCACCACATCCTGGTGAAGCATCCTTTCTTAAGATCACTAGTTGGAACCGCCCCAACAGGCAGGCAGAAAGTTTTGCATTCCAGGCCAATGTATCATACCAAGATGCGGTTTGGATGAGGCCCGACCAGTCTTTGCATCTGGACTTTTGATACAGACAAACCATGTGAGAGCTGGATTTCAAACTCCCACAGTCCTCCTCGGCCAAGAGTGACTAAGGATTTTATTTTTAAAGTGTTCACGTTTCAGTTGCTTTCGTTCCTAAGGAGACCATCTTTTATTATTACTGGGTTATCAACAACTGAATTGAAAGATCTGGAATCATCTTTCTTTCCGTGTCTCTGCTTTCCTGTCCACAGCACCAATGTCCTTGTCTCCCATAATCTCGTATCTCCCTTAAATCGACCTCCTTTGTCTACAGTGAGGTTCTGGCATTTTAATCTGATGTGGGAAAAGTCGGCATTGAAATCTCAACAACCCTGTGTTTCCCATGTAGAAGAGAAGGAAAGTCCGATAGATAAGGAACCATTACTGTCCTGCATGGCCTGATGTTTAGAAATTCTCGAAGGCCCCATTGAAGAAGGCCCAATTGTTTTCTACCTTGGGCTACACTTTTCTCAATTATAGGATCGGTTTCAATGTTTTATCATCTACTGGCAATTTTTCCCCAAAATTTTTTCCTGTCATTATTTTCCCCTTTACATCATGATTTTGTCACGTGGGATCAGGTATGAGTACAGACATACAAATGAAGAAATACCCATATGAACCTATGCTTGCTGGAACAGGAGGAAGAATGGTCACTGTCCAGCTCACTTGACCTTGAGACAGAAAGTGCATCGCTTCGGTTCTTAGAAACACACATACTGTAAAGGAATAGCAACCAAAAAATCCAGTCTTCAAAGACATTGTACACTTTTGATGGCACAATTACAATCATTTTCATTCACCATAAGGATTCTGCTATAGAATAAATCAGCAGGGGCTGGAAAGCCAGCTCAGCTCAGGAGATAAGAGCAATAGAAGCTCTTGCAAGCTCTAGGTTCAGTTCCTGGCTGTCACATGGTGGCTCCTAACTATTCTAAGGGATCCAACGCCCTCTTCTGGCTTCAGTGGACACTGCACCCACAGGGTGCACATACGTATATGCAGAGAAGATTCTCTCGTGCATGCCTTTAATCCCAGCACTCAGGAGGCAGAGGCAGGTGGATCTCTGTGAGGTCGAGGCCAGCCTGATCTACAGAGTGAGTTCCAGGACAGCCAGAACTGTTACACAAAGAAACTCTTTCTCAAAAAAAGCAAAATAAATAAGTAAATAAATAGATCTTTAAAAAAAAAAAAAAGATGAAATCAAGGCCTACCCCCAGTGCAGCGGTGCCTCTGCTTGTGGGCGCTCATGCCCTGCCTGCCACAGTGGGCACCTTTCAGAGACAACAGAAACCCCACTAGTGAAATTCCCCAAGGCCTCTTTAAAACCCTCAAGTTTGTCTCTTCCGTGAGTTACACTTTTTAAGAACCTGTAAGTATTTGCCATAGATAAGTGAAGGTTATGAATAAAAATTCCCCAAGGACATATGGTACACATTATCATTTTATTTAAGAGAAAACTTGGATTCAAACCATTAAAGAGAAGCAAAAGGCTATGTCCTCTTGTAGAAGTGTGCTTGCTTCTGGTATGTAATGCGCATCGTTACTAGAACACCAACAGTAACCACGCTCCAGAGGCCGCCCTCCTTTCCTCTGTGTCTCCGCTCCACATTGTACACCTTAGAGGAGACCAGCAGTGCAGCCAGAAGCTGATTAGCTCTGCTTGCATTTCAGATGATGGGGCGCTTCTTCAGTGGCTTGGCGCAGTCAGGGGCCTGGTGCTGCTTTGACGAATTCAACCGAATTGACATTGAAGTCTTGTCAGTCATTGCCCAGCAACTCATCACCATCAGGAATGCCAAGGCTGCAAAGGTGAGATGTCCGGGCGGCTGGCTATCAGTGCAGCTTTCTCAAGCCGCTCTCTAATTCAGCAAGCAGTGCCTTGGGAAGGACATCGTCCAGTGTAATCAGGGAATGCCATAGCAACAGGGCTGACTGGGGTAGGTGCAGCCCTGATCTAAGCAAAATGAAGAAACAGATGCTGTGCTGGGCATACAGAGACTGTGAGAACGAGTGTCTGAGCTCACGAAACCCTCCTTCCCACCCCCAAGGTATACACACACATACACACACACATATACACACACACACACTTTCTTCCTCACTTTTCTCCTCCTTACTTTTGACATTTACTTACCTGATGCTTCTTGAGTTCCATTTTTTCTGGGCCCCATAACTTTCTTCATGACTTCCAGGGCCAACCTAGTGTTGGTGAGAAAATAGCAGAGAAAACCTGAGAGGCTCAAGGAGTCCACACCTCTTCAGGTGAGCTTTTCAGAGCCCACTGAAAGGGATAATCTGAGGACCAAATAGAGATTCTGAGCGAGCCTGCTACTTAGCATCCCCCACATGAGTCACTGCTGAAGAAGGACTTTCGTGTTGGGCAGGTGATGGCTGTGAAGGAAGAGCCTTCTAGGTTTGGTCACCAAAGAGCAGCACAATTTAGCCTCCATAAACCAGAATCTTCCTCTTTCCTTTCAGGGAATTAACTGCCCCAAGTCTCTTAATTCCTCCCTAAACCCCTTCCAGAAGACGACCAGACTTCCTTGTTCCCCATCAGTAAGGTTCATATTGCAAAGCTGGGGATCTTTGGATTCACCCCAGCTCAGGAGCCAATCACTGTTGAAAGGTGCCCTGGTAAGGAGTTATTAAGTCCAGTGTGGAAAGCCCAGGAGATCACCCTCTCCAGCTTCTGTCCTCTGTCGTAGGTGAGCATAGGATCTGTTCCTTTGCAGTCCCCTCCGACAAGACTTCAAGCCTGCACCTGCACATGCCTATGACCTTCTCAGAGTCCTGGGGATGATGACAGACAAGACAACCATACAGGAAACAGGGCAAGATATTTTAATTTAAAAAAATGTTAAGGATTTTTATGACTTCTGCAAAGTAGCAAATTATAGAAAAAAAGGAAGTAGGGACTGGACTTCCAGTGAGTGGCTAAGTCAGTGAATCTCTATGGTGCTTTTGTGTTTTCATTAACCTTTGTGAAGGAGGAGATGATTACAGGTGAAAACGATTCAAAGAAGTCAAAAATTATTTCTACGGATGCCGCAGAACTGAGATACACACTGGAATCCAAGCGACCCCTCCATTCTGTCCTGCTTCTACTAAACACACCTACTCTGCAAAGGTGTGGGTTAAATGTGAAGATTTCTAGAAAGAATTTGCAAATCATTTCCATCTTGCAAGAGCGAGTCTGGAAAGCAAAGGGTCATGAACCCGACAGGATGGAGGTGGGCTGGAGCATTCGCAGCTGGACGGCAGCCAGGTAGTCGGAGCGGGCTAAGCCCCTAGGACCAATGAAGAAATTCAAACCTAAGTGTAGAGTCTTGAGCAGTGAAAGCATCCGTTCCACAGCAGCCAGGTCACTCAGCGTTTTCTTCCCAGGCAATGACACAGGGCCCAACCCCACCCTGGTCTGCCCCCATAGTCTCAGGCCTCGGACAGCACCCTCGCTCACTGTCCTGACTCGGAATCTTAGCATCAGCTCTATTTTGTCTCTTTACCTTCAGCCTAGAGTCTAAACTGTTCCTAGAAGGTAAGAACTGCACCTGCGGGGAGACCCTCATCCATACATGTACTTCTCAGGTTCTGGCTCTGGTCTCCCCAGTCTGTAGTTGGCCCGAACTCTCCACAGTCACCTCTACTCCGTCACTCTTCTTTGCTTCTCACAAGCCGGGAGACAAACGAGAAGCTCTTCAACTCAGACTACAAGACTCTGGGTACTGGGAGCCCAGTGTACCTGTTGCTTTCCTCATTGCCATGAAAACTGCCCACCGAGAGCAACTTGAGGGAAAAGCGGGTGGTTGTGACTTAGAGGTGATACAGTCCTTTCCTGGAGGAGAAGGGACGGCATAAAGGCTTAGAGGCTAAGACTTGGTGATGAAGGCATGGGGATAGGAGTGTGAGGTAACTAACTGGTCAGTCAGGAAATAGCAGACAGGAAGTGGGCCCGGCTACATGACCTCAAGGCCGACCTCTAGTGACCCACTTCCGCTAATGCTCAAAGCTCCCATGCCTTCTGAAACAGCACCACCAGCTGGGAAGAGCCGGTGGGGACAGTCCACAGCGTCAGGCCCACCTACGCTTTGCTCTGAACTTTGTCCCACTTTAGCTAAGTAGGTTTCTCTTGTTCCCCGAATGTGCAATGCTCTTTCTTGTTCTTATTCTTCCCACCTGAAAGCTGCCCAATCATCAACCTAAAATGCCCTTCCACCCTCCACATACCACCCCATCAACCATCCCCACACCCCTATACCGTGTGCACCAGATCTCCAGATGCCTCTCTGTTCCCAGCATGGCTTTCGTATGCACACATACCACCAGACCACCACCACACCACACCACCACACCACACAACCAACAACCCACCACACCGCCACACTAGACCACCACACCACACCATGCTACCACCACCACACCACACCACATCACTCCACCACTACCACACACCCACCACACCACGTCCACAACCACCACCACCTCCACCACACCACCACCAAGACTGTCACATTTGCTACATGGGGTGGTCCCAGTCTGGGCCTGAGTGCACACAGCAGGGCTCAAGCATGAGCACCCTTCAACTCTGTGTCTCCCTGGCTCACCCTGGCTCGGCCTTCCACAGGTGCTCAGCAATCCTCTACTGTTAAGGGCAAGTGAGGGTAGTGCAGTCACAGACAGGCCACACCACTCGTAGGCTTAACCCAGACTGTGATTTCCCCGGGGAGACCAGCAAGACAGAGTGGAACGGGCTGCTCAACCAAGCGGTCGAAGGTAAGCTGAAGAGTCTCAGCGGATGTTGAGACCGGAAGCGTTCAGGACTTGCTCAGGTAGGAGCACACGGCTTGGACAGGACGAGGCAGGGAAGGGAAGAGCAGTGGACACAGGACCCAGAAGAGACCGGAAGTAGGCATAGTCTAGAGAAAGCTTCCCTCACCCCACAACAGGACCCGGCGGGCTCTGCTTGGATGCTCCCTTTAAGTGAGTCTCTGATCCCAGAAATGATTGTGTGAACGAATTTACAAACGCTCAGACAAGTGCTCGTTTCTTAGACCTTCTCTTTGCACAGCTGTCCAGATTCATGTTTGAGGGCCGGGAAATCAAGCTCGTCATGACCTGTGCCGCTTTCATCACCATGAACCCCGGCTACGCTGGCAGAACGGAACTGCCGGACAACCTGAAAGCCCTGTTCAGACCATTCGCCATGATGGTTCCCAATTACGCGCTGATCGCAGAGGTGAGCTTCAGACTGTAACAAAGCAGGGTTTTAATTAAGCATGGTTTATCTTATTTGTCATCTAATTCTCTCAAGACAGAGGCTCCTTTTATTTCCTAGTTTCTTCTTTTTGATTATTATGAAATGCCTTGACCAAAAGCAACTTAGGAGAGAAAGGATTCATTTTGAGTCTTAATTCCAGATCGCAGTCCACCAAAGCTGGTAAGAAAAGCGGGCGTGAACTTAAAGCAGCCAGTCACATCACAGTCAAGAACACAGAGAAAGGAATGCATGCTTGCTTACTTGTTCTCAGCTCACTTATACACTTCCATGATCCAGGACCCAGGCCCAGGGGATGCTGCTGCCCACAATGGACAGCGAAGACAATCCCCCATAGATATAACCACAGGCCAGCCCGATGGAGGCAATCTGTCATTCAGAATCTCTTGCAGGCAATTCTAGATTGTGACAAGTTGACAGTTCAGCCTCAATGTCTCGCTTTCTAAGCACCCAAGCCGTGGCTGTTCGCTATTACTCACACTGAGTGCAAATTTGCGCAAAAAGAGAATGTCTCATTCTACGTGTTCACTTGGTTTTCAGTCTTACTTCTAGCATCCAGAATTCCCCAGCTGGTTCACAGAATCTAGCAGACTCCTAAACACGGAGTGAGGCAACATATTTGATTAACCTACTTACTGGGCTTTAATCAGTTCATCTCTAAGAATTTGAGTGTCGGGATTTGTTCTAAAAAGACAGCATTATCCCCCACTTCTCTTTGGATGTAAATTTAATTAGAGCCAAGAAGTGTTGGAGCCCAGTCTGTTGCCTCGTGCCTCTAATCCCAATCCTCAGAAGGCTAAAAAACGGAAGGATTACTGTGAGTTCAAACCAGCTTGGGTGATATAGTGAGACTTTATCTCAAAAAAAGACAAAATTAGGAAGAAGTGTTGAGTCAAAGCTGTGTCACTTGAATATTCATAATCACTCGATTATGGAGAAGGGGGTTCGTTTGTAGTCTATAACAGTTTAAGGCAATAATCATTAATAGATTAATTATTTGTGATTGATAAATGTTTCTACATCTACCAAGGAATCCTTTTATTTGAATGCTTTTATTCTTTCATCCTAGCTAAGACTCCATGTGTATACGTTTCACATGTTTCTCAGAGCACTTTTAATGAGGTATGCTTTATGTACAACAAAGTGCCCACAGCTCATACGGATATGAGCAAATATTTGAACAGAGACTCATCTGTCTGGCGCCAAGACCAAAATACAGGGCTTCCTTTCAGAACTCCAAAAGCTCCCTTGAGCCCTGGGCTGCATTTCATATCGATGGACACTTCCCCTTTCAGAATGGAATTTCTCGGAAAGCACCGGTTCCTCCTGCGGCTAATACATTCTTTTGAATTATTAAAGAATCTTCTACCTGAAGTAAAAGGAATTGATTACGACTAGACCAGACCAACAGTAGAGGAATTTCAAGCTGAATTAGCATAATGCTTGAAGCATTCAGGGGTGCCCTGCGTCTGCTGCAGACACAGAGGTGGGAGGGCAGCTGAGACAGGCTGTACCTTTGCTCTCCCTTCTGTCTGCGACCCGTTCCGCATGTGCTCCCACTTTGCCTACTGTTGTGCTGCTCAGCCCTGAACTGGAGGGATTTCTAAGTGCAGTCTTCTGGGCTTGCTTCCTGTTGGAGTCACAGATGAAAAGAGTCAGGCTTCTCATCAGCAAATGCTTTCAATGGTGACAAAGATCCTCACGTCATAATAAGAGCACTGGTAGGGAAAGTGAAGTTGTTCACTTTCTGACCTTGCAAAGCTGGGCAGCAACCTAGGATGGGAGGCACACTGGATGAAACTCTAACACAAGCCCCTTCCTCCTTTTCCTCTGTGGCTGAGGAATCACGAGGACTTGATCCTACACACAATCTAGGTTTTGTCCTCCATCTGCCTCTTACATGTGTCTTATTCTGAACAAAAATCACGTGTGAGTTTATCTTTATCTCTACCGTTTTAGTTTATCAGGTGGATGACCCTGTCACATGTCACATCTACGGGTCATTAGGCAAACTTGACTATTAATTTTCTATTCTAAACTTTTATCTTGGGAAGTCAGCCTGGCAGACTCTAGCAGGGCTCCTGTGCCGCCTGTTCATCCGTCTCAGCACTTAAGCTGACTGGAGGCGCCTTTGAAATGAGCTGCCATGTAGCCTTTCTTACATAATCACCTACAGTGTGAAATCCACAATAGCAGAGCCGCAAAGAAAACAGAAGGCAATGGCTGGGCTGCACGATCCAAGCCCTGCTTCCAAGCTCACCTGCTGTGGTTGGGGCAGATCACTGGTGTGATGGGTAGAAGGAACACTCCGTTCCTACCTCTACTGTGGAAGAAAAAGATTTAGGCTGCAAAATGGCTCAGCAGGCAAAGGCACTTCCCGCCCTGAAAACCTGAATTCAATCCCTGAGCTTTCCACAGGCATGCAATGACACATGCACAGCCACACACCACGTTCTCTCTCTCTCTCTCTCTCTCTCTCTCTCTCTCTCTCTCTCCTCTCCCTCCCTCCCTCTCTCTCTCTTCCTCCCTCCCTCCGTCCCCCTCTCTCTCTCTCTCACACACACTAAATAAGTATAAGTAAAGACAGCAGCTTTCTAGGCTGGAGAAGGGCTGCAAACCTTTGCTTAGTTGCCTTAACCATAGGGAGCAAATAGTAATTCCATCTCTCCTGAGTAGGTCTCTTCAGTCTAAAGAGACTGATTCTTGCTTTTGTGTTCAGAATTTACACCACCGTTCAACTCTGTATGACCACTTTTAAAAGCTGAACACAGCTGCTCCTCACGCCAGCGGTCACCAGGGCTCCATCACTGCCTGTAGAACGGGCAGAATCACTACTCACGGCCCTGTCACTCTTCTGGGACGCAGGAAACTCTTCTCATTCTATGCTGTTACAAAATGTCTGACAAGAACAACTGATGGAAGAAAGGTTTGCGTTGACTCACAGTTGCGGGTACAGCAGGGATAACGTTGATGCGGGAGTGCGAGGCAGCTGGCCGCGTTTCTACCATGTTCTTTGATAGTTGTCTCCTCACTAAGCAATAGAAAGGTGTGATATCTAGGGCAGATGTCAAGTACATCCATATCAGGCTACTATGTTGAAGGCAAGACAACGTAAACACAGTGTTCTATTTTACCTGCTAGGTAATTCTGTATTCGGAAGGCTTTGAATCCAGTAAGATACTAGCGAGAAAGATGACGCAGATGTACAAGCTCTGCAGTGAGCAGCTGTCCCAGCAGGATCACTATGACTTTGGCATGAGAGCTGTCAAGTCCGTACTGGTCATGGCTGGGTAAGAAATCCAAAGGGAGATAGCTCAGTCCCTAAAGTAAAGTGCTAGCCCCGCGAATGTCGCCTCCTCAGAAGCCACGTAAGAAAGCAGAGCATGATGGTGCATGCTTGCAATCTCAGTGCTGAGGAGACAGAAGTGTTGGCATTCAGAGAAGGCAACTGCATCCCCACAGATGTGACGGAGGAATGCACAGTCATCGATCTGTATGACGGGGTGAGGGCGACAACAGGGCTCTGCCTGAAGTTCGCAGCAGAGAAGACAGACTAGCCTACAGCGGCTTTCTAGAGAAGGGGCTAACTGGGCTGCTTTTGAAGGGAGAATAAGAGCAGACAAGGGTTGGAGAAATGACTCAACATGTAGAAGCACTTTCTGCTTGTCCAGAGGAGCTGAGTTTGATTCTCAGAACCAACATTGGGTAGCTTATTACTGAGTTGTAATTCCAGCTCTAAGGGATCTGACAGCCCTCTTTTGGCCTTCGTGTGTATGTGTGTGTTTCTGTGTGCACACACGCAGAAACACACACACAAATGAATAAATAAAAGACATGTTTTTTAAAGGAGCATGCAAGAGAGAAAGGCAGGGCATCCTGGACAGAGGGAACAAAAAATGCCAGGGAAGTGAGCCGTTGTGATACAACCCACGGGCTCCAAATCCAGCCTGAGCAGTCTAGATTGCTAGGGGAGGGTATTTGAGACAGTGTTCCTGTCACTATCCTCTAGGCTTTATAGCCAACGATGGACTTGTCCTTGAGCCGTGATAGAGGCGAATCAACACACACACAGGAAGACAAGTCTTTAGCAGGAGTCTCCGTGGAGTCCCTGACCTACAACTTTAGAACATTCTATTCTGTCTTCCATTCCTTCACTGTCATCTTAATGATTCTCTTGCATTTAGGTCTCTAAAAAGAGAGAACCCAGACCTAAGCGAAGATGTGGTCCTCATCAGAGCTCTACGAGACTCCAACTTGCCGAAATTCTTAACAGATGACGCTCTCCTGTTCAGGTAAGTTCCCAGGGCTGGGGCGGAGGCACTGCCACAGAGAGGGAAAGAACGTGGCTCCCGGGGTTTTCTGTCTCTTTAAAGCCAATACATTTCTCTTCTGGAGATGTGTGCATCCCTTTAAGAATCACAGCCACAGGTGACAGCGCTGACCTGTGAACCCGACCACTGGGGAGGGGTAGGAAGATCTGGAATCGAAAGCCATCCTGGGCTACATGAGACCTTATCTCAAAAACCCAAAAGTAAAGAAAAGGAAATAGGTCCAGGTGGTGTTGGCGCGTGCCTTTAACACCAGCACTCAGGAGGCAGGGGTGGGCAGAGTGAGTTACAGGACAGCCAGGGCTGTGACACAGAGAAAGCTTGTCTCAAAAAAAAAAAAAGGGGGAAATGAGCACTGTTTATAACAAATGAGCTAAACTTATAACATTATTGTAATTACCTTTTGTTTTTCAAAACATTTTTTTGTTTTTGTTTTTCAAGACAGGGTTTCTCTGTAGCTTTGGTGCCTGTCCCAGAACTAGCTCTTGTAGACCAGGCTGGCCTCGAACTCCCAGAAATCCGCCTTCCTCTGCCTCCCGAGTGCTGGGATGAAAGGCGTGCGCATTGGTCACAAAATTGCATCATTTTATAAATTGTCAAATTTCTGANCAAATGAATAAATAAAAGACATGTTTTTTAAAGGAGCATGCAAGAGAGAAAGGCAGGGCATCCTGGACAGAGGGAACAAAAAATGCCAGGGAAGTGAGCCGTTGTGATACAACCCACGGGCTCCAAATCCAGCCTGAGCAGTCTAGATTGCTAGGGGAGGGTATTTGAGACAGTGTTCCTGTCACTATCCTCTAGGCTTTATAGCCAACGATGGACTTGTCCTTGAGCCGTGATAGAGGCGAATCAACACACACACAGGAAGACAAGTCTTTAGCAGGAGTCTCCGTGGAGTCCCTGACCTACAACTTTAGAACATTCTATTCTGTCTTCCATTCCTTCACTGTCATCTTAATGATTCTCTTGCATTTAGGTCTCTAAAAAGAGAGAACCCAGACCTAAGCGAAGATGTGGTCCTCATCAGAGCTCTACGAGACTCCAACTTGCCGAAATTCTTAACAGATGACGCTCTCCTGTTCAGGTAAGTTCCCAGGGCTGGGGCGGAGGCACTGCCACAGAGAGGGAAAGAACGTGGCTCCCGGGGTTTTCTGTCTCTTTAAAGCCAATACATTTCTCTTCTGGAGATGTGTGCATCCCTTTAAGAATCACAGCCACAGGTGACAGCGCTGACCTGTGAACCCGACCACTGGGGAGGGGTAGGAAGATCTGGAATCGAAAGCCATCCTGGGCTACATGAGACCTTATCTCAAAAACCCAAAAGTAAAGAAAAGGAAATAGGTCCAGGTGGTGTTGGCGCGTGCCTTTAACACCAGCACTCAGGAGGCAGGGGTGGGCAGAGTGAGTTACAGGACAGCCAGGGCTGTGACACAGAGAAAGCTTGTCTCAAAAAAAAAAAAAGGGGGAAATGAGCACTGTTTATAACAAATGAGCTAAACTTATAACATTATTGTAATTACCTTTTGTATTTCAAAACATTTTTTTGTTTTTGTTTTTCAAGACAGGGTTTCTCTGTAGCTTTGGTGCCTGTCCCAGAACTAGCTCTTGTAGACCAGGCTGGCCTCGAACTCACAGAAATCCGCCTTCCTCTGCCTCCCGAGTGCTGGGATGAAAGGCGTGCGCATTGGTCACAAAATTGCATCATTTTATAAATTGTCAAATTTCTGATCATAGAGAAATTTCTAGTCTGAAAACAAGTCAGGCGTGGAATTCAACATGAACGTGACTGCTTGAATCAATCCTTTTTAAATTCATTTAATTTTGTGTTTCTCCAAGTTCTATGTGTAAGACCTTCCTAAATGAAATAATATATAAATGCGTCCTCCAGAGAACAGCCCTTCCTTGCCTTTCACCAAGCACCACTCCCCAGGGGCCATCGGTTTCACTCTTCTGCTTGCTTTGTTATCTGCTCCATACGTCGCACAGCGCTTCTGCCGTTTCCTGGTTTGTGGGTTTGGGATATTGTGTGACTAAGGCTGACGGGAACACAGCCCGTGTTTTTCTTTCTATCCATCCCTTCTGCACAATTATACGCAACACCACGTGAGCTACCCTTGAACTTATGATCCTCCTGCCACAACCCCTGAGCTCTGGGACCACAGGCGCGGGCTGTCGCTCATTCTCTAAGTGTTTGTTGTATGAAGCCTTCTATCCCGCTGAAGCTTGCTCTTTGACGATTTGGTTTTACTTTTTACCTTACCAACTTTGCATAGTTGTAAGCTTTCTGTCTTCCTTAGAAAAAGCTCCTCACCACAGTGTGCAAAAGTCGCCCCCTTTTCTCCCATCTGGTACTTTTGCCACTTTATGTCTTCGTTTTGGAAAATAAAAATATAATTTTATTTTAACTTTAAACATTTCTTCTTTGACATTTGCACTGTACACAGCACTGTATGACACAAGGACATTTTCACGCAAGTCTGTATTGTATATTGAACACACCCCCCGTGGCCTTCTGCCCTCCCCATCCCCCTGCTGTTAGTCTCCTTTGCTCCTCTAGAGTTTACTTACCTGTTCATGTCCACATGCATGTGTGTGCACCTCCGGTACATCCGTGTGCTGTTGTGTGATGGTGACTGAGCCTCTTTCTTCACGGGAATGTCCCCTCTCGACTATTTCTCAGGATTTTCACAGTCCTTCCCTCCCTCCACTTTGAGCTCATACTGATTTTCTAATTTATTCATCTTTGGGAGTTCTCTTTCAGTGTTTCAATCACATTCACCCCCTCCCCAGCTCCGCCCAGATGACCTCCCTCGTGCTACCCACCTAATTTTATGCCCGTTTTTTTGTTTTTTTGTTTTTTTTTTTTTTTTGGTTTTTCGAGACAGGGTTTCTCTGTGGCTTTGGAGCCTGTCCTGGAACTAGCACTGTAGACCAGGCTGGTCTCGAACTCACAGAGATCCGCCTGCCTCTGCCTCCCGAGGGCTGGGATTAAAGGCGTGCGCCACCATCACCCGGCTTATGCCCGTTTTTTAAAGAGCTAAGTCCAATTTGTGTTGCCCATATGCTCCAAGGTGTGTGACCTCCCACTGCAGCATGGTCCATCTGGAAATTAGTAAAGGGCCTTGGTGTGGGCAACTTTCAAGGGAGGAGCGAGAGGACACAGTGGTGTAAAGGGTTAATCAGAACAATGGATTGGGAAGAATGACATGGAGGTCGGAGGGAGAGAGCAGGATAGAGGGGGAGGAATGTGTAGGGATAGTTAACACTAAAGACCTTTTGAGAAGGCCATATGGAAACTTACTACTCTAGAAACTTCTGAAATATATACATTCCCCTATATAAAGAGTTTAAATTGAGTAACCCTATAAATGGTTGCCAAAGCCCCTACTAATTTTCTCCTTTAGTTTCCATCTGATTTTTCTCTGTATCCACGCATATTCTTAAGCATATGTAATACTTTAGGGAAGCAGTGGGATGGCAGTTTTAAGTCTATTGATAAATTTACCAGCTATGTGTGTGGTACTGTGCTACCGTGCACTGTGGGCCATACAGAAATGAGTCCTAGTGTCCATCCCGAAGGAAGTCCTGTTGAGCAGGAAAACCACCAGTCTGCTGAGCAGGAAATGAGATCACACAGGAGTTCAGAACAAAGGATGGATCCTGCACAGCCCAGGACAGAATGGTAATGTGGATGATCAGGAGCCCGTTCAGCTACTTATGACAAGTGTGGGGAGTCAGGAATGGCTGGTGGCTCCTAACTCATGTCATTTCTGCTTTGCCAGTGGGATCATATCTGATCTTTTTCCTGGAGTCCAAATCCCGGAACACGACTATGGCATTCTGCAGTCGACAATCGTGGACGTCATGATTGGACAAAACCTTCAGCCTGAGTTGTGTATGGTCAAGAAGGTGATACAGTTGTACGAAACTATGCTGGTGAGGCACGGCGTTATGTTAGTCGGACCGACAGGAGGGGGCAAGACCACAGTTTATCAAGTATTAGCAGAAACTTTAGGGAATCTGGAAAAACTCAACACAGGCAAATCTTTCTATCAGCCTGTAAAAACCTATGTTCTTAACCCGAAATCCATCACCATGGGTGAGTTGTACGGGGAGGTCAATAACATAACCTTGGAATGGAAGGATGGTTTGATGGCACTCAGCGTCCGAGCAGCCGTGAACGATACTTCCGAAGACCATAAATGGATAATCAGTGATGGACCGGTGGATGCTCTCTGGATTGAAAATATGAACACGGTGTTGGACGACAACAAGATGCTGTGTCTGGCTAACAGCGAAAGGATTAAACTCACTCCTCAAATCCACATGCTTTTTGAGGTAAATGCATGCCTCACTGGGAATGTCCACCACCATCAAAAACAACTTTCTTAACAGTGGTATATCATTTTCACCATTTATCCGTGGTGGTATTTTATTTATTTGCTGAGTACTTACAAAATTATCTGTCGTAATAGATTAAAAACACCTGTCAGAAGTTCCCATTTCTCTATAAAATAGAAGTAGGATTAATTCTAGTTTCACTTGCTCTTTTTTTGGAGGCAGACATGTATGTGTCTTACATAATTTTAATTTCTAGGTAAAAAATAATGTTAGGCATTCTGTGAATAAATTATTCCACTGTGCCAGGAATGGACACTATCTTCTTTGCCCCTTTGTGAGGGACTGTGAGATGGATGAGAGGCAAATGCAGCTTCAAAAATTCACAGAAGATACTGCCTGTACCTTCTCCACCCACCAAATACTGAAAACATCTGCTGTGTGCCCTACATGTGCCTAGATGTCAGGATACAAGAATGACAAAAGACAAGTAACTAGAATAAAAGGAGGAAAGACCATCCCTATTTTGTATGCAGGTGTGGTGGAACACACCTGTAATCCCAACAGCTGGGAAGCACAGATGGGTGGATCTCTGTGAGGTTCAGACCAGACTAATCTGGGCCATGTGCATAGACCCGAGAGAGAGAGAGAGAGAGAGAGAGAGAGAGAGAGAGAGAGAGAGAGAGAGAGAGAGAGAGAGAGAGAGAACTGATAATGTTCTCTACCTTAAACTCTCTCCTAACTTCCCTGTTCCTTTTCAGATTGCACACTGCTCTTCCGCACTTTCTACATAATCCCTTTCTGTGTTAGCTCACACTTTAAAACTGTGACTCATTGCTACTGAAGTGGAAAGGATATGCAAGTAACCCCTAGTTGTTTCCTGTTCGACTTTAGGTACAAGATCTCAAGGTGGCCTCTCCTGCGACTGTCAGCAGATGCGGAATGGTGTTTGTGGATCCGGAAGAACTCAAGTGGATGCCTTATGTTAAAACATGGATGAGCAAAATGTCCAAAAGAGTAAGTGTAGCCAGACATCCTCCCAAGTCTCCCTGTGTGTGTTGGGGCTAGTACTGCCCAGCAGGATACAAATGTGAGTCGCTCTAGTGGTATTTGTGGTCAGAGGTAGCTTGTCTCTCTCTCTCTCTCAACAAATCCCTGGATCCTCCAAGAACTTATACACACCCCATAAGTCTGTTCTACACTCCCTCACCTGCCAGCTGCCTTCACTCTCCCCCTGGACTCTCCACCCTGCCTCTCTGCAAACTGGTTCCTCTTAAGGACCAACATGAGACGCTCCCTTAGTCCCACCATGCTCCCTCCCCCCCTAAGAAATCCAACCCAGAACAAGCTGAGACAGTGAACAAGACTTTGCAGACAGCCTGGTGGGTAATCAAAGGAAGTCGCAATAAAGAATCTTTAAAGTCAGACACTGGTTGGCTTTTTTTGTTCAAGGCTTTAGGAGCCTTGAACACCTCTGAGAGCCAGAAGGAAAGAAAAGTGTATTTACCTCTTGCCTTGATCATAGGCACAGTACTCATTGTCACCTCCAGGATACAAGGTGTAAGGTATGTTATTTCTGATGTGTTGTTGCGCTGATGTGATTTGATAGGCTTGATGTAATCAGTGCGCCAATACCAATGCATTGTTTTTAGCTGGAGCGCAATGCTTACGGCAGGATTCACTCTGCATTGTACTGTGCATAGGGATTTTAAACACAAAACTTCATGTATCCACCATTATACTGCTTCACCTCACTCCCCCGAACTCCTCGGCGCTCTGCCTATTTGTGCTTCCATCCCTCAGCCTAGGACTCAGTGATCTTTCACAGCCCCTGTAGATCCACAATTCCTAGAAACCAGACAGTCAGGATTATAGATTTGACCTTTTGGAACCAACCTTTTATTAGCTTGGCCATTTCAGGTACCTCGTGTCTTTCACGATGTGATGTCTCATTTCTTTGTAACGTGAGTAATAATATTTCATTGTATGGACATACCACAGCTCATCTATTCACTAACCTCCTAAAAAATACTTTGGATGCCTGGAGTTTGAGCAATTATCAATAAAATTGCTAAAGGCACTAGTATGTGTATTTTTCCTTGAAATTTTGATTAGTTTATGTCAATACATAAAAGTAGAGTTTCTAGATTGGATCTATATACTTGGCTTTGTAAGAAGTCTCCAGATTGTCTCCTACAGTGGCTGTGATCTAGTATTCACACCAACAGTGGAAGGGAGTGCCTGTTAGTATTCACACAAGCAGGAGAGCTTCTGTTAGTATTCACACCAGCAGTGGAGGAGAGCTTCTATTAGTATTCACACCAGCAGTGGAGGAGAGCTTCTATTAGTATTCACACCAGCAGTGGAGAAGAGTTCTTGTTGCTCAAATACTTTCCATCTTTTGGCATTTTTGGTGCTTTGGGTTTTATAGAGCTCTGGGCAGGTACAACAGGATCTTGTTTCAACTTGTATATCTATATGTCATCTTTGCTAAAGTGTGTATTAGGAAACAGTTTTACTCACTACTTAACTAGGATTGGTTAGTTTTTATTGTTTATCAAGTGTAGGCCTGTGTGACACGATGTGGGGGGAGAAATCTTTGTACATTTGTTTGTTTGGGAAGTTTTTTATTACTCTTCTTTCATACCATACATCACAACTGAGTTCCCCCACCCCCCCTCTCCCCTAGATCCACTCCTCTTCCATTTCCCTTCAGAAAAGAATACACACACACACACACACACACACACACTCCCTTAGGGATAAAAACCAAAATGGCTTAACAAGTTACAATAAGACGAGGCACAAACTCTCGTATTAAGATTGGATGAGGCAACTCAGTAGGAGGACAAGGGTCCCAAGAGCAGACAAAAGAGTCAGAAACAAGCCACTCCCACTGTTAGGAGTCCCACAAGAACACCAAGCTGCACAACAGTAGCATGTATGCAGAGAACCTACCACAGATCAATGCAAGCTCTGTGAATGTCGCTTCAGCCTCTGTGAGCACCTATGCACCCTGTTAGTTTCTGAGAGCTGTGTTCTACTGGTGTCCTCAACCCCTCTGGCTCCTACAATCCTTCCGCCCCCTTTTCTTTGGGCTTCCCCAAGCTCCACCTAATGTTTGTGTTTTGTTCTCTATATCTGCTCCCATCAGTTGCTGGATGAAGCCTCTCTAGTAACGATTGGGATAGACACTGGTCTATGAGTACAGCAGAATATCACAAGGAATTATTAGGTTGATTCTTTTTTCAGGGTCTCTGTCTGGCCGATCCAGACTCTGGTTCCTGGCCATCCAGGCAGTGTCTGGCATGGCTCCCTCTGGTGGCATGGGCCCCAAGTTCAAACACTCATTGATTGGCCACTCTCACAAGTTCTATGCCACCATTACCCTAGCACATTTTGCAGGCAGGACAAATTGAAGGTTTAAAGTGTTATGTGGTGATGTTTTGTCTGTGCTGCAATGAATAAAGCTTGCCTGAGAACCAGAGTGCAGAACTAGCCACACTAGTCAGCCACAGAGGCCAGGCAGTGGTGGCACTTTAATCCCAGCACTCAGGAGACAGAGGCAGATGGATCTTTGTGAGTTCAAGTCTACCCTGGGCTACATGAGACTGAATCTGTTGAAAAGAGAAAAGAGCTCACAACTTTGTTCCCAGCACTTGGGATCACAGGCCTTTAATATCAGCACTAGGTAGAGATAGTAAGTGATATGGCTGGGCAGAGAGAGGGGTATAATATGGGAGGAGACAGGAGCTCAGGATTCAATTGAGGTTTTGTAGAGACAATGTTCAGTCTGAGGTTTCATAGGTCAGGGTCCCCCCTTTGGCCTAAGGATTTGGTAGAAGAAAGAACTAGTGACCAGTTGCTCTGCTTCTCTGATCTTTCAGCATTAAGCCCTATGTCTGGGTTTTTCTTATTAAGACCAATTAGAATTCACGCTACAATTTTGTGGCTGGGTTGGTGTCCCAGGACAACTACTGAGAGCCTTGCCTGGTTACAGAAGATGGCTGGTTCTGCACGCTGTCCTCATTACTAGGAATCTTCCTTGGGGTCACTCTTTCAGAATCCAGGGTGTTTCCACTGTACTAGGTTTCCACATCACCCCCATTTCCAGCTGTTTCTCCCTGTTCTCTCTCCCTCCATCGCCCACCACCACTTGATCCTCCTTGTTACCATTCCCAGGCATACCCAGTCTACCCATAAAATCTGTTGTTTCTCTTTATAAGTTCTCCCCCTGAACACTTTTCGTTACTTAGCCTTTCTGGGTCTATGGATTGTAACATGATTATCCTTTACTTAAGGGCTAATATCCACTTATAAGTGAGTACATACCTGGTTTGTCTTTCTGGGTCTGGGTTACCTCACTCAGAGTGATTTTTTTTTCTAGTTCCATCCATTTGTCAGCAAATTTCATAATGTCGTTATTAACAGCTGAGTAATATTTCATTCTGTAAATGCGCCACATTTTCTTTATCCATTATTCAGCTGAGGGACAGCTAGGTTGTTTCCAGGTTCTGGCTATTACAAATAAAGCTGCTATGAACATAGCTGAGCAATATCCTTTTGGTAGGATGAAATGTCCTTTGGGTATATGCTCAAGAGTGGTATAGCTGGGTCTTAAGGTATACGAATTTTCAATTTTCTAAGTAGCTACCATATTGACTTACATAAGTGCCTGCACAAGTTTGCACACCCACCAGCAATGGAGGAGTGTTCCCCTTGCTCCACATCCTCACCAGCATGAGCTGTCACTTGCATTTTGATCTTAGCAATTCTGACAGGTATAAGATAGAATCTCAAAGTAATTTAATTTGCATTTCCCTGATGGTTGCCTGGATTTCTGGTGTTGCCCTTGGTTGAACAGGGGGTCTTCATCCAAGCTGGGGGCTGGGACACAGCAAAGAAGAGGGAAGGGGGGATTTGGGATAGAGTCAGGGCTGTAGGGAGTGGAAGAGGTCTGCAGGCAAATGGCCTACCTAGAGTTCTGGCGGCTGACACGGCCTCTGGTCCAGCAATGTGTCCTGCCTAAGTTTTCCTACCTGTTGTTCTGGCTGATATGGCCTGCACTTGAGCAAGGGATGTCTGCCTGGGTGAGGGACTGGGACTTGGCACCAGGGAGGTGGGGGTGACTGAGAAATGGGTCCGTGGAAACTGAACTGAGGGAATGGGAGAGTTCCATGGGTGGGCAGCCTGCCTGTTCATCTGGATGGCTTGGGCTGCTCTTGAGCAGGGGGTGTCCCTCTGAGTTGGGGGCAAGGACATGGTAACAGAGGTGGGACTTGGGGGAAGAGGGATGGTGAGGATTGTGTCTGTGAGACTGGAGGGAGAGTGATGGTCTGGGGTGGTAGGCCTACCTGTTCTTCTGGCTGGCATGGCCTGCATTTGAGCAGGGGATGTCTGCCCTCCTTTGTCCATTTTGATAGAACCTCTGAGCACTACCTAACCAGGAAGTGCGGTGCATCCTCCACTGCCTGCTCTGTCCTCTGTGCATCCCCACTGAGCCATGGGTTTCCGCAGACTTTGTTTCATGCTGTGTGATGCCCAAATCCTTTGATCTAAAGGCTACTGAACACACTAGACACATAGATTTTTAACACCCCTTACTGAATTTAATCAGGATTGTAGGATCAGAGAGGTCAAGGACACAGCAAGAAAACTCACAGAATCTACTAGCCTGGGCTGGTAGGGGTTCACAGAGACTGAACCAA